TCATATTCTATTTCCCCACATCTTTGTGTGGGGTTCTTGTTTTTGGTTGTGCACTTCCGCCCCGCCCCGTCCAGCCCCGTCCTCCCGCCAGCCCGCCCGCTTACTCACACGCAACTTGATCACCACACAACTTGTCCACACACAACTTGCTCACACACACAACTTGTCACCACACAACTTGTCACCACAACTTACTCACGCACAACTTGTCCACACACAACTTGCTCACACACAACTTGCTCACACACAACTTGTCCACACACAACTTGTCCTCACACAACTTGCTCACACACACACAACTTGTCGCCACACAACTTGCTCACACACAACTTACTCACACACAACTTACTCACACAGAACTTGTCCACACACAACTTACTCACACACACCTTGCTCACACACAACTTGTCCACACCTCGTGCGCTTGGCGTGGCAGGCGTGGCACTTGGTGACATCGACCGTCACTTTGCGTGGCAGGTGTGGCACTTATGGTACTGGACTGGCTCCGGTGGCGCGCTTGGGCCTCGTTTGGCGTGGTCGCCGCGGCTGTTTGCCTGGGAGGCGTGGCACTTGGCGACATCTACCTTTACTTTGCGTGGCAGGCGTGGCACGTGGTGACATCGACCGTATCTTTGCGTGGCAGGTGTGGCGCTTATGGCACTGGACTGGCTCTGGTGGCGCGCTTGGGCTCCGTTTGGCCCCGTGGTCGCCGCGGCTGTTTGCGTGGCAGGCGTGGCACTTACGGCACTGGACTGGCTCCGGTGGTGCGCTTGGGCCTCGTTTGGCGCCGTGGTCGCCGCGGCTGTTTGCGCGGCAGGCGTGGCGCTTGGCGAACCTTGACTTTCACTTTGCGTGGCAGGCGTGGCACTTGGTGACATCGACCGTCACTTTGCGTGGCAGGCGTGGCACTCGGTGACATCGACCTTCACTTTGCGTGGCAGGCGTGGCACTTGGCGACATCGACTTTCACTTTGTGTGGCAGGCGTGGCACTTGGCGACATCTACTTGCGTTTGGCGAGGCAGGCGTGCACTTGTTGCATCTTGCTGTGCATCTTTCACAAACAACTTTGTCACACACACCATCTTTTACACATAACTTTGTCACACACCCTCTTCCACACACAGCTTTATCACACACCATCTTTCACACACAACTTTGTCACACAGCCTCTTTCACACACAACTTTTCACACACCATTTGCACACAACTTTGTCACACACTCTTTTACACACAACTTTGTCACACACCATGTTTCGCACACAACTTTGTCACACACCATCTTTTACACACAGCTTTGTCACACTCTCTCTTTCACACACAACTTTGTCACACACCATCTTTCACACAGCTTTGTCACACACACCATCTTTCACACACAACTTTGTCACACACCATGTTTCTTTGTCACACACCATCTTTCAATCCCTCCTACCTTAATGAAATTATTTCAGGGGGGGGTTACCCTCCAAAATAATTTTTTGAAAATAATTTCAAAAATCTAACATGTTGGATGTATAGATTTATAGACTCTAACCATTGCCAAAATAATTTCTGGTTGGAAATTATTTTGATGGGTTACCCCCCCTCAAAATAATTTTGACGAAAACACTCTCACAGCAAAAAAAATATTTCAAAATAATTTTGGTGTTTGACCTTGTTTTGATCCGATGACATATTCCACCTTTGGTCGTACACTCAAGTTTCTGCAGGCTGTGTTCACACAGCACTTCTTCGCAGTGATGGCAGTGTTGTAACTTTCGGAGGAAACGATGTAGAACAATGCGATATCCCATCTTGCGCAATGTTGGGCTTGCAAAAGTGGCTTATTATGTTTTAGGTTTTTTGTTTTTTAGGATTGATGCGTTGCGAATCCTACAACGCAAATAAATTCAACATCATGTTTCATGTGTGCTCCCTGGTAGTCATGTCAGAATCCCCCCTCAATCTTAAGTTGCAGCAAGAACGCATCAAAACTTGCAACTCGAAACCAAACTCGTTCTTTAAGAAATTATTCAAAGGATCTTGGAGATGCCCTGCATTCCTCAAAAATCAATGTGGGAAGCTGCCAGAACCATCCAACTCGCCCATATACTGGAAACAAATGAAAAACCTATCAAAACCGAACGCTTCCCAAAAAAGAGTTCGTTGGAGGGAAATGAAGGGAATATTGGAGAAAAATGGGAAATATGACAGGTTAGGAAAATCACTACAGGAAAGGGCCAGGTTGAATACTATTTTGCGGTATTTCCCACGGGGAAAAATTATTTTAGGGGTATTGGAGATACCCTGCACTCCTCAAAAACCAAAGTGAGCAGCTGCCAGAACCATCCAACTCGCCCAGAAACTGGAAAAAAAATGAAAAACCTATCAAAACCGAACGCTTCCCAAAAAAAAGTTCTTTGGAGGGAAATGAAGGAAATATGGGAGAAAGAGGGAAAAACATGAAAGGCTAGAAAAACCACTATAGCAAAGAGCTAAGTTGAATACCATTTTGTGCGATTTCCCAAGAGGAGAAATTATTCTAGGGGTATTGGAGATGCCTTGCGCTTCCCAAAATTCAAAGTGAGCAGCTGCCAGAACCATCCAACTCGCCCATAAACTGGAAACAACTGAACAATCTATAAAATCCGAACGCTTCCCAAAAAAGAGTTCTTTGGAGGGAAATGAAGGGAATATGGGAGAAAAAATGGGAAATATGACAGGTTAGGAAAATCACTACAGGAAAGGAATACTATTTTGTGGGATTTCCCAAGGGGAGAAATTATTTTAGGGGTATTGGAGATACCCTGCACTCCTCAAAAATCAAAGTGAGCAGCTGCCAGAACCATCAAACTCGTCCATATACTGGAAACAAATGAAAAACCTATCAAAACCGAACGCTTCCCGGGAGTGAGTTCTTTGGAGGGAAATGAAGGGAATATGGGAGAAATAATGGGAAATATGACAGGTTAGGAAAATCACTACAGGAAAGGGCCAGGTTGAATACTATTCTGTGAGATTTCCCAAGAGAAGAAATTATTCTAGGGGTAGTGGAGATATCCTGCCCTTCCCAAAACTCAAAGTGAGCAGCTGCCAGAACCATCCAACTCGCCCAGAAACTGGAAAAAAAATGAAAAACCTATCAAAACCGAACGCTTCCCAAAAATGAGTTCTTTGGAGGGAAATGAAGGGAATATGGGAGAAATAATGGGAAATATGACAGGTTAGGAAAATCACTACAGGAAAGGGCCAGGTTGAATACCATTCCGTGGGATTTCCCAAGGGAAGAAATTATTCTAGGGGTATTGGAGATACTCTGCACTCCTCAAAAATCAAAGTGAGCAGCTGCCAGCTGAAAAAAAAATAAACACCGAATGCTTTCCCTTTCACAGTCATTCCCACCGAGTGTTCTTTGGAAGGAAATGAAGGGAATGTGAGAGAAATGTGGGGAAGTATGAAAAAATGGAAATATGTAGGAAAGAACCAGTGATGAAGATGATGGTTGAACATCATTTTGCGGGAATCCCCAAGTGTTTTTTTTTTATTTTTTTTGTTCAACCATTTAAAATTTAGATGAAGTTATGTCAAAACATAGTTATTCCAGGGTATATTTGAAGGCTTAGATTATAATTCGCATATTCCAATATGCACATCCGTAGGCCCACTGCTTAGGAAAATTATTCAACAACATGTTTTCTTTAAACATATTCCAAAACCTGGTTGATACCCCCGCGTTTTTCTTGAAGGGATGGAATATCCCCGGTACACCTGCGAAGGCGATCATGTCGGGTAGGGGGGGTCCCAAAGTATACATATGTAAAGATTGGAGTCTCCGGAGGGGGGCAAAATAATTAACTCCCCAGGGGTTGAAATAATTTTTACGAAGGTTCACCACCGTCGATGAAGGGGAGGGGGGGGGTCTATCGTAAGAAATTATTTTACCCTAAAGAGGGTTGTTTCGTATAACAACCGAAGACACTATCAACCCCCTGAAAATAATTTTGGAAATTATTTTGAGGAAGGGGGAGGGGGGGGGTAGTTTAGGTAGGGTAGATATCTTTCACACACAACTTTGTCACACACCATGTTTCACACACAACTTTGTCACACACCATCTTTTACACACAACTTTGTCACACTCTCTCTTTCACACACATTTTTGTCACACACCATCTTTCACACACAACTTCGTCACACACCATTTTTCACACACAACTTTGTCACACACCATGTTTCACACACACAACTTTGTCACACACCATGTTCCACACACAACTTTGTCACACACCATCTTTCACACACAACTTTGTCACACACCATCTTTCACAGACAACTTTGTCACACACCATGTTTCTTTGCCACACACCATCTTTCACATACAACTTTGTCACACACCATCTTTTACACACAACTTTGTCACACTCTCTCTTTCACACACAATTTTGTCACACACCATCTTTCACACACAACTTGGTCACACACCATTTTTCACACACAACTTTGTCACACACCATGTTTCACACACACAACTTTGTCACACACCATGTTCCACACACAACTTTGTCACACACCATCTTTCACACACAATTTTGTCACACACCATCTTTCACACACAACTTTGTCACACACCATGTTTCTTTGCCACACACAGCTTTGTCACACACCATGTTTCTTTGTCACACACCATCTTTCACACACAACTTTGTCACACACCATCTTTCACACACAACTTTGTCACACACCATCTTTCACACACAACTTTGTCACACACAACTCTTCACATACAAATGGTCCACACACAACTTACTCACACACAACTTGCTCACACACACCACATCCTTTGTTTTTCCTTCCTTCCCCGTCCCGCTACAACATTTGTTGCTCATTATTGGAAGAAATTGACTTGTGGGGTTATCCGGCCCTTTAATTTTTCAAGAACTTCAATGATTCATCGCAACTTCTTGAGACTTGACAAAATACACTTGTTGTGCTTTGCAGCGACAATGCCTGGCCGAAAGCGTTGTGAACTCAAACTTCTCCGGGGTAGATTCAATCATGGCAGCTGGTTAACTCAAGGCCAGGCGAACCGTTCAGCTTGGTTATCCTTGGAATGAAAAGTGATACACCCAAGAGTTGCTGGGATACCCTGACCAGGACCTATTTCCACAGTGAAATACTATGAACTGGCATATATTTTTGTCCCATGTCTTGGGAACTTCGGTAAGAACTGAGGACCTCTTGTGCCCTTGATCAGCATGGGGAGATTTTGTGGATTTGGGGGTCTGAGGGTTTTGTGACAAACCGCAGATGCGCAAATGGGAGTCGTCGTACACCTGACTTGGAAACACAGCAAAGGCAATAGCATCATTTTGGTGACTGAGTTTTCAGGTCCATGAGCAAAGTAAGCGCAGCACTTAGCCCTTCTCATTTTGGACCGATTGCTGCGGAGTGATTGAACACCGTGCAATACACGAGCTCCTTGGTTTTGGACAGCAATATACGGTATTCGGTATTCTGAATGCTTTGTGTGAGAGTAAGGTCAGTAAAACGGTCCCTAGCGCAATTCAAATTTGTGTTTTCTTCAGGTGGAAACCCAAATTTTGCAAATGGCCTCTGAGGATCCGTTTGTTGCTCAGATTGAAACTTGGGCCTTGGACATTTGCGAAGAAACCCACGAACATTTAGAGCATTGAATCAGATGTTCACACACATCAATTATTTGAGGCATGAGGAGAGTATCAAAGTTTGCTGCAGGCTGGTCCACATTGATTGCTTATATTGTTTATGTTTGATCTTGATTCATCCAACATCCTCTTGCATCCTCTTGACGTGGAGCAAGGTTCCGGCCGCAAAACCAGTTAGAGAAGGAGCAGTCTGGAAAGATCTGCATTACACTCGGCGATGACATCACCTCAGTGTGACCCGAGCCTGTTTTGCACTAAATGACTAAAGAACTGGCCTTGATGCTGCATTGATGCTTCAATTATTGACTGCCAGCAGATATGATTTTATAGGCAATCATGGATTGAATGTCACGGAAAGCCTCTCAACCCCAAAAGTACAGGTGCAAGGGTTTGCTTGCAATTGGGTCCGTTTGTTCTTGTGATTCTTGGAAGCGCTTGATCCTGTTGCATGCTCCAAAGCTGTGAAATGGTTCTCGACAAGATTTCACCCGCGGGCGTTCGTCGACTTTGTTTGGGTGCCATTCGAATGACATGACACGCCTGAGACAACAAAGATGACATGGAAGCTCCCTCTTGAAGGCAAAAGGGTGGGAGGCCTGACTTCTGAGAGAACGCTGGTCTTCAGAAGTTGCGACACGTGGGAAGTTTACATGGCTTGGATGGGTTTCTGCTCATCTATTTGAGAAGCATTTGATCTTCGGAAAAAGCAGGACAAAACAGTGGATGCGCACAAGACTGAGTTCTGCAAAGCCAGCCAAGCCTGATGCGGCCATATACGCCGAAATTCGGTCAAATCGCTGGTGGCAAGCATTGACGATGATGACCCGACTAAAGCAGCATGGTGTGCGTCTGCATGGACGGCCTGCTTTGAGTGCGGCTGCCAGGGGTGGTCGCTGGTTGCTGGTGCTGGAAGTGCTTGAAAGAATGATAGACAACGGGGAACCCTGTGCCCCCTCCAGCGTGAGTGAGGTCACATATGCTTGCGGGAGGGGGAGTTGGCAGCATTCTTTGCAACTGCTGCAAGGGATGAGAAATTCTCACATCGAACCCACTGTGGAAAGCTTCAACGCGGTCTCCAGCAGTTGTGAAAAAGCCACAGTCAGGGTGAATTCCAACAGCTGGACAGGCTGGAAGTGTTCTTTGCAATGCCTCCAGGAAGCATCTGCCAAGTCCCTGAGAGCCAGCATTATTTCGTACAACACTGCGATGGCCACCTTGGGCCAGGCATTGCATTGGTACCACAGCTTTTCGGTGTTGTCAGTGTTGTGTAGCCTTGGGCAGAATCCGTGCACTCCAGATGACTTCAGCATTAACACGTTGGCCACTGCGTGTGAAAAAAAGTTTCGCTGGGAGGCTGCGGTGGAAGCTCTGAAATTTGGTGCCCGGAAGGGCATTGAGGTTGACGTGATCGGAGTCAACGCGGTGATCAGTGCATGCGGCACCAATGGCCAGTGGCAAGTGGGCTCTAAGATGTTGATGGATTTATATGGTGCAGGCATTGTGGCTTCACAGGTTTCTTTTGCAGCTACTGCCAGTGCTTGTGAAAAGGCGAACTTGTGGATCCGCCCCTTGCAGCTGTTGAGAGTTGCGAAGTTTGCGCAGCTGTCCGGTTCAGTCCTGCATGGAGTTGCTTTGGATGCGCTGGAAAAGCAGGGCCTTTGGCAACGAGCGCTCCACCTCTTTGCTTTGAAGTTTCTTCACCATGGATGCCATGGATCCTCCAAGAAACTGGAGAGGCTCATGGACCCAATTGCAGTATCTGCTGTTGTGTCAGCCTGCAAAGACAGTTGGAGGCGGACCCTATCCCTAACAGCTCAAGCGAACAATTTTCCTGGTGCAATGAGCACAGAAGCTTGGAATGCTTGTATCTATTCTTGCGTAGGTCATGTTCCCATCCAGAACTTGTTGGATTGGATGACAGCATCCCAATTTGAGCCAGACATGCTGTCTTATGTGGCCCTGAACACCCTGAACAAGCCAGGGCAGAATTTGATTGCTGACTCGCAATCCACTGAATTTCTCTTTAAGATAAGATCAGAAGCTGTTGACGCACTTCGTAGGCTAGTCCCGCTTCACTATGCCAAATAGGTTTTGCTCGCCGCAGCAGCAGCAAAAAGGTCAAAGATTTGGATTGTGCTAGATATCACCTCACCATTTACAGCAAATCAAGAACAGGCTGTTCTTCATCAACGCTTGCAGGTATGTGCCCACCATTGACACCAGCTTCGTCTACGACCGTGTCTTTGGCTCTGAATCTACGCAAAAAGAGGCCGCATGAACAGGGACTTGGCTCTGTGGTCGTTTTCAGAGCAACTTGCTGCTGCCTTGCAGGTGTATGACTATGCTGCCAAGCCCATCATCAACGGTGTGTTCGAAACTGGGTGTACGGTGTACTTATTGACTAGCTGCAGATAAGGGAGCGGTCGAAGCCTCTGAGCCTTGCACAAGTTTGGGACAAGAGTCATTGCTCTCCCAGGTTGAGGGGCTTCAATGGCACTGTATTTGCCTATGGTCAGAGACTCAGCGGGTCTTTGGGTCCAAGCCATGTGTTGGATAAGCATAGCTTCTTGGAGTTGGTGGGTGTTCCAGGCCAGACCTCATCGGGCAAGACGCACACCATGGAGGCCGGAATTGCATGTGTTTCTTTGTTTTTCAGGCACCATGCCAACATCAACAGCTCTAGCAGCTTCTGCCAGGGACCTGACATCGAAGATGAGGTTCAGATGGGTGTCATTCCAAGGCGACTGGGATCCCATGTAGGAGACGGGATCCAATCTATCACACACACACATATATATATATATTATACAATTGTATACATATAGTTTCAATTTATATACTTATATTATGCATTATATGATAATCATATGAGTATCATAATTAGTCAATAATGAAGCTCCAAGATTTGCTTTGGATTTGGCAGGATGGTTTGGTCCATCTTTGACGGCATTGACCATGTCATAGCCCCAGAACTTCGTGCCGCTATGATTTGCTGCAGTGTGACTGCACTCAGGCAGCTGACTACATCGAATTTGTGGTAAAAGTTGCCATTGTGGAAATCTACAATGAACGCATGCCTGCCCTGCATTGCCATCGCTTTTTGGATCCTTGGATTCTTCTTGATCCTCCTCTGGCTTCCAAGTCCTTCCATTTTTCTGAGTTTTGCCAGGCATCCGTGACCTTCTTGACCCCAAGAAGGACAACTTAAAAATTCACGAAGACAAGGCCCACCTTGGCATATCAAGCCTCAAGCAGAGCAAGCGTAGTCGGCGCAGCATTGCAGGCCCGAGGTGTCTTCATTGGAGAGGTCACTGAGACGTATGTGGGGCTTGGTACCTAGTGACTTAGTTCCTAGTAGCCTAGCGGACATCAAACATCAGGTTGGAGTGATATATTCATCATGATTGACTTGGCTTGTATAGCAAGAGTCTGTGAAAATACGTGAGTGCTGAATGAGGTCGGAGCAAGAGATCTTCGACATGATGTACCTGGCTAAATACGAACACATCGATGGGTTTTGCATCAGCATTGAGTTATATCATCATGATATACTCTTCTTTATTTCAGAGCGATCTTAAGAAATCCAGTTGGCTTCGCCCTCCTCCAGACGTGAATGGACCAAGGAAAGTAGGCAAATACAATCGCTCCGTGGCTGAGACCAATTTGAACGAGCATTCATCGAGGCCACTTGCTGACACATCTTCTGAAAGCAGACATAGACATAGAAGATTTCTCAGGGTGAATTCGTTGGAAGGTCGCATTTGATCTTCATGATGACAATCGAGCAGAAGAATCTGCACGATCGTTCTCTCAAGGCAAGCTGTGCCATTTCCCTTCAAAGATGCTTGGCTGCTTGAGCAATTCCAGACCGGCAGTCCAGGTTGGGAAACTGCACTTGGTGGATCTTGCGGGCAGTGAGAAGGCGGGTTTTAGAACACGTTTTTTCATTGTTCACAGAAGTGCTTTTCATTGGAAATCCTGTTTGATCCTCGCCCAAGTCGATAGAGTTCACACACTGTCACTGCTGCCCTAGCTGCAGCACCGCTCAGGTTGCGAAGACAGGAGCATCTGGTGAACGGTTAGATGAGGCCCAGAGACAGAGACAAAAACGATCAGGCTTTGGTTCCATGTCTCAGATCCTTTCAGATGTAGAATCAGAAAACGACCAGAAGCTCAATTTTTGTTGGTTGCTTGACAGCTCTGACTCTGATATCAGGCGAAGAATATCAATCGTTCGCTGTCTGCTTTGGGAAATGTTTCAGTCTCAATCTACGAGCTTTCAGAATCTTTGAGCTGTCATGTGGCTACACAGCTACGCCATGCTCGCATCTGTGGAGTCACCACATATTTGAGGTCATCAATGCCCTCACTGATCGCAAGTCCACCCACGTACCATACCGGGACTCAAAGCTTTCAAGAGCCAACACCTCAGATTTTCATTGGAACTGGAGCTAAATTTCGCACTTACATCGTTTTAAATGCAGAATCTGTCTTTACGGAGATTCAGAATCTGATTTGAGGTCCTTCAAGAATCCTTGGGTGGAAATGCAAAGACCTCGTTAATCATTACATGCTCTCCTTCTTATTTCAACGAGCAGGACTGCTTGGACTGCTTGGACTGCTTGTGCCGCTTTGTTCAGTTGCGAGCACTGAATTTTTCAAAGGAGACCATTAGCACTCTTCGTTTTGGCCAGAGAGCTGCCTGGCAAAATGGGTAAACCATTGGTAAACCACGTGAAATCCGACACCTGTGGGGAGGGGGAACCTGGAAAATCTCGCTGAAGCTGTGGCAGTTTGGCAGTTTCGCTAGGTGTGTTGGGACGGTTGTAACGGTTGTAGCCAGTCTGCCGATGGTTACCAAGGCCAAAATGATCAAGAACGTGGTCAAAGTCAACCATGAGCGATCCGTTGAGGACCAAACCCAGAAAGGCAGCGGAATGATACGATAACAAACTAGCAGCTTAGCAAGCTTGTGTTTGCCGATTTTTTCCTTGCTCAGTAGGTAACTAACACACACACAAGACTCAATTATATACACACTATATATATACATGATATTATATATATAATTATGTATATATATATTATATTATTATATATTATATTATTATATATTATATTAAATATTATATATATATTATATTATATAAAATATATTATATCATATATATAATATCATATATATTATATTATATTATATCATATTATATTATATTATATTATATTACATTACATTACATTATATTATATAATATAGTATAATATAGTATAGTATAGTATAATATAAGCTAATATAATATAATATAATATAATATAATATAATATATATGTTTACGTATATAATCAAATTCACAATGTTGGCAGCATGTTGTCCAGCCAAATCTGTGACAGAACATTGCCAAACTGCAGCAGTGCAGGAACTGAAGTTGCTGCTGCAACGGCGAGACCAGGCAGAAGATTTGCTTTTGGGATCGTCACAGAGACGTCATGAGTTCATGTCATAGCATTGTGTAAGCGGATATAAGTTATGTCTCTATATATATATATACATACATAATGTGTATATATATATATAGTATATATATATTACTTGTGTATTTAAGTTACTAAGGGCCCGTTTGTGCAAGTGTGAAACATGTTGTCCTGGTCGTTCTTCGCTGCAGATCGTGGGAGATCTCCGACATAGAGTCTCGCTGTTTGGGACCCAAACTTTCGTGATTTCTATCCAGTCCATTATTTCCGATGGCACCGAAGACGCAGTGTCGTTTGACCCCCGAGGTTGGAGCAGCTGCTTCGTTCCAATGGAATTCCAGTCCCTGAGGACAGCTTCACTTGGGAGATTTGACAAAGGGCTTTGGTATTCCCGTGCCGGGGTGGTGAAAGGTCGAAGCTTTGCCGACACAGGACAAGGGGCTTTCCCTTCCATTGCCGGGAACTGCTTCGCCCGCACCAGTCGACGAAGCAGAAAAGACGGAATTGGAGGAACAGCTTCAGGACTTTCACCGCATGCGCTGCATGAGACAGCTTAGGCGTCCTGGGTCAGGTTGCCACAACCTGCGACAACCAGCTATGACTGTTCAACCACCTGGGCCACCGTGTACAGACACTGCCTCTCCAGGAGCTCAGAAGCAAACTGAAGGAGAAGTCGGACGAGTTCTGCGAGGCACAGAAGTTGATGTGTCAAACCGCTCCAAAACTGTCGAAGTTGGTCCCTTGTAAGGCCTAGGCGGCCTGGAGGTATGTTATTTGAGCCACAGCCATATACTCGTAGTATAGCGAAGCTGACAACACTCTGAATGCTTTGAAGATTGTTTGTTTGTCGACCTGTGTCCTGCCGTTTCATTTTGCGAGGCGAGCAAAGAAAAAGACGACCTCTTGTCGTCAAAGTCTCAGCACTTGTCAGACCTGACCTTGAAACCGAATGACAGCCTGTTCCGATCTGTGTATGAAACCAGGCAGTTGCAATTGGCACAGAATGAGCAACGCCGCTTGTCGATGGAAGCAAAGAACGTCCACATCTCAGCAGTCCTTTCCTTCATGACAAGCATGATAGATATAGATAGATATAGATAGATATAGATAGATATAGATAGATATAGATAGATATAGTATCAAAGGATATCAAAGGAATTAAGGTCATTGATACTATATCTATCTATATCCTTTGATGTCAATTAGCACGTCATTGAGATATGCTCGGGACGTGGCCTTGGAATAACAATTTCTCTCCAATTTCAGACCATTTCTTGACATTCTGCAAGGCCAAAGAGGAAGTTGAGAACATGGATTATGAGCGGCAAGAGCAGGCGCGGGTCACTGCCTCCACTCAATCCTTTGCATCTTCTATCTTTAGGATTCTGTGATCTGTGTTCGTTTTGTGTGGCTGCAAAGCTAGAAAGAATGTAACGCTGCGAATGATCGCTTTGCCAATTCGTCGTCGAGGCTTCAGAGCTTGCTAAGTGACCCTGGCGAGTTTTGGGTCATCTTTAAATGCCTTCAACGTGGTCGAACCTTAGGGCCTGGAACGAGACATCCCTTCCCTCACCAGTTTTGAACAGGATAACTTGACACCTCTTGAGCTTTGATGAGCCTTGTTTAGACTCTGGACATACCAGGCTTCAAAATGAGAAGACGGCTTTGGAGTCTGAACTGGAGGTGCGACCTCTGGTGTAGCTGTTGGGCTGTGGGGATCTTTGCCAGCGCTGGAATCCAGAAGCAATGTCACCACTCCCGATGTTGAGTACTTCAGGCATTTCAGACTTTAGTCGAGCAATTTCAATGGTTTCTTGCTGAAGCCTGCAAAGGCATTTGACAAGGTTTGATGTGTTTTCTGCGCAAGTTTGATTAGGCGCTGAGCAAGAACTACACAAATCTCTTTCAAGAAAAGGCCGGATGTGCTCTGCTGGATCCTCCAAGTGTGCCCACAGTCCCGGCGCAGTCCATGGAATCGTTTTGTCCATTCGGATGACCATTGGGTAGAGCTCTTCCGGGCTCTTTCTGTGGTGATGTGTTTCTACATTGACATCTCTGACATCTCCAGGCTGGTACACCCACCAACCGAGAAAGGGAGAGAGAGTCAAGGATCTCAGTCCCCAACGGAGCTGCACAGTTGGACTGGCTGTTTCATGGGACCCAAGGCCTGCGATGTGTTCTCGCAGCCGGGCACCATGCCTCGAGGTGAATGGTAGTATAGAAATGTGAAGATTTACACATATTGTAACACATGAGAATTTTGCGAGGGCGGAAAGGCATACAAAAACATGATTTCACACTTTAATGTTTTAATTCGTTTGCAGTCAGGACAAGGATGCGGATAGGCCACTCAAGAAGAAGGCAGGAAGCAGCTGATTTGCAGCAGGAAAGGCATTTTTTCGGACGTGAACCAGGTGTCGCAGCTGGACAAGAACCTGGAGTCATTAACTGCACCTCGGAGAAATGGCAGTTGCTACATAATCTTGACCTTGAGCTTGACATAGCTTGACTACATCTTAAAGATGTAATTGTAATACCATTGAGATCTGTTTAGATCTATTTAGATCTATTTAGGGGTACTATGGGTACTCAGGGTATTTGTTATCAGGATATGGAAATATTGTAACAAGGCAGCCGGGAGGAGGACAACCGCACTGTTCGCCATACCAACGAATACTTCCGCACGTTGTGTTTAAAGGGCTCGTGGCTCAGGTGATGTACCACAAGCTGGTGGCGCAAAACAGCGGGCTAAAGGCCAATAGTGTCGTGATGACTGGCTTGGAGCTGATACTGGCGATGCTCCTGCATCAGGTGGAAGTCACTGAAAATGACAACAAAATCAAACGAAAAGACCTTCGCATCCAGCAGTTGGAGAGCAATTTGCGGGAGGCGTCCTTTGCGCAATGGCACAGCTTAAGAATAACTGGAAGCAAGGTTTGTTTCGAGCTTTGAACCCGTGACTATATAGATGGAATCAGATGTTAGCGATGTTTTTTCCCCGCTCAAATCCAATCTGCAGGCGAAGCAAAAGTACACCAAATTGATGACGCAGTGCGCAAATCTCACTGCCATGATAGATGCCTGCCGCTCAGATTCACTTGATTTCACTAGACTTCGGACAAGCAGATCAAGCAGATGTTTGCTGCAGGTGAGAGGTCGCAAGAACTGCGTTTGCGGTGCCAGCGGCGGCAATTCGCAGGCTTTCTCATCAGCATATTGACACGGGTGCTCTGGAATGAAGGGTGTGCCCTTACGAAGGTACCTAATTCTTCTAAGGGGTTAGGGGGTTGCATTGGGGGTCGGTTCCAACCTGCATTAGGAACATTTAGGAACTATCTCAAGCCATGGGGATTTCCAATGTCACAGAATGCTACAGAGAGGCTCGGCGGTCGCCCGCCGTGGTCCGGCCGCTTCGAGGAGGAGTTTCAGCTCGCCCACAGCTGAGGGGTTAGCAGTCACTGGAGTTTTTTGAGTATTTTTTAATAGGATTTTCCGATTTTCCATTATAAATCACCCATTTTGGGGTGCCACCATTTTTTGGGAAACCTGCATTTGGTTCTCAGCCTTCTCGCTGACCTGGACACACAATGGATTCAATGGATGCTGAGGCGTCGAGACAGGCCAGAAGCGCTGTGGTGTTTCGATTCACATCACCAGATTTTTCACACCTGTCAGGTCTTGGAGATCCCGTTGCTGAAACCTCAGTTGTCAGGGATCGAGGTGACGCTTCCTGTCACGACATGTCACAACAACATTCGCAGGGAAATGGCCAGTTTCAAAAGCGCGAAGCGGCAGAAGTCGTTTCCAAGGGGACCCCCAAAGCAACCTCTGGGAGTCCATCGGAGCGAGCGGATAGCCCCAAGGCTGCCGACCTGACAATGATCCTTTCCAAATCGCAGTGAAAATCTCCAGAGTTTGTAGATGTTTGCAATGTCATATGTTCCATATTGTTCCATTATGTTCATTCGAATACAAATGCCTTTATCCATTTAACTGAAACAGTAACAACATGTAACAACTGAATAACATGTGGAAACCATGTCTCTATGATTCCACTGCATAGAATTGGTACGATGCTAAGCCTTGGGATGCCAGGCCTCAAGTCCGACTTCGTCTCCTGTCTCGCTCAGAGGGGGGTCAGATCCCTGGGCAATTTCGGTGCCAGTGGGCAACATCAACATACTTTGAACATCTTTGAACCTGAGGACCAAGTCACGGGCAAAGGCTCCGGTGTTAGCTCCTGAGATGGGAAGAGCCCTTGAAGATCAGGATGATCAGGAACAACTTTCAACTTAGCAACCTAAGACTTGGCAGGCGTCCATACAGTGTGCATGTCCGACCAGGTATGATCCGCCTTCGCGGTGAGGGGTGGACACACTTTTTTGTGCAAGTCACATTGTATAGGCCGCACATTTTGCGACTTATTGCGAATTGCGACCGCTTCTTTGTGACTGCCCCAATGGGGCACAGCATTCATCCGGTGGTCAAACTGACCGGCAACAACATTGCTTCCAAAATTTCTGCACAGGGAGGCTTTTTGTGTTCAAAGTGAAAACACCAAAAGCAAACCGTTTGTTTGTTTCCTTTTTTTTCCAAAATATTTCTACAGATACGAGAAGTGTAGTGTCGACCTTTCCTGCTTGGTGTTCAAAACACAGATTGACTACGTTTCTGAGTTGCGCATTGCAAATGTCTCACCTGGCGAACCAGACAAGGACCAGACAATGCCCGGACCACAGGGACGGTACATGATTTGCCAGAGGAAAAAGCGCTGGCAAGGATTGGCAAGGCATGGGAAGGCTTTGAGAAGCCGCACAGAATCCGGAACCACATCGGAACCATATCATATCGGAACCACATGATTCCTGGCAACCACTTGCAGCAGAGTTTGTGCGTTTGATAGCTGTGGCTCCAGCCATTGTAAGAGCTCTTTCAGCTGACCACTTTGACCACGTTTCAGACAGCTTTTGGAGCTTTGCAGCTCTCTCACCGCAGAATCAAGACAACCCTCAGTAAAGTCAACGAAGACCATTTAAGACAAACAAGCGTCTTGGAAGCAATCTTCTCGACGTTTCATTTTCCAATGACATGGCGTGAGGGACTCAGTTGGAAACTCTCGCAAATTGATGCCACTCTGCTTCCAGTCACCTCGTATTTGTTGTGGTGGGATGCATGAGGTCACCCTTCGAAGGCCTTCCTACCCAGACGGTCAAGCTGGCAAGATTGGTTGTGCTTGATCGAGCGGTTCTGTTTTTGCATTCCCATCAAACTTGGCATATCTTGGCGTCTTTAAATCTTGTTGGAACGAGAAGCCACCACTCTTCGGGTCAGCCTTTCGGATGCTGCCCAGCCAGGAAGGAAAGGAAGATGCTGGAAGCTGCTGGCCAAGAATGACACCGCGCGGGATGTGTCAAGTGATCATCTTGCCAAGCCTATCCTTGTGTCCTTGGGAGATTCCTATAGATTGATGATTCTGAATGATGATAGTACGGTTTTGAATGGTTTTGATCTCTTCTAAATGTAGAACCTGCAGCTCCAGCAAGAAAAGGGTGTTTACAAAGTCTTTTGTGAATGCTTTGAGGTTTGACGGGTTAAAATTGAAGCTGGAAATGTCTGAGGGATCGCTTCGATCTCATTCTTTGTTGTGGAATGACCAGGTCAAGCCGCTGACGTTTTCGGAGCGCAGCCAGGAGGTTTTGGGGAGTCTGGTGCGCCAACTTCTCCATTGGAGAAACGTCTTTTCACAGATACCGAAACTTGAGGCTGGCACAAACGGCTTTAGAATATTTTAGATGATTTTAGTGCAGCCAGTGACCGTTTCCAGCGCTCAAATTTAAACACTCTGGGCCACAATTGATTCTTCCAGGTACCTCTGTGTTCAGTTTTCTGAACTCTGCCGCTGAGGTGCGGACTTTCAGGTCATGTTTTGGGACTTGCAGCACAACGATCCCGCCGTATGTTGGTAATTTTGTCGGAATTCTCTGATGCCAAAAATTGGATGATGGCCCATTATGTCTTTCAACCCAAGCCGTTGTTATCAGCTCAAGAGGGGTGATTGATGGTGATTGGATAGATGCTTTCACTTGGATTCCTTGAGATCCTTGAGTTTCAGTGGTGGCATCCAGGCTCCTGGAACATCTCAACCTCCTGGGGTATGGGACTTAGATCCGAAAAGAAAGATATTCTGCGGCAGCAGATTGTGAGATTGTGCGATATCAAGGAGTCTGTGTTTTCCTTCCTCAACAGTGCGGATGTATGGGACTCGGAAATTCTCAGTCTCCAGAGACAAGATGCCTTTGCTGGTAACTCTTTGTCAGAAAGACGAGTTGATCCAGACCTGACACATACGCAGTCTTGTTCTTGTAGCATTGTAGCACGCATGATATCACATGGTTTTTGTTCCATCCATCTTGTGGATATACACAGATGCTGGAGAGGTCTCTGAGCCAGCACCTATTACTTCTCCTCCGCAAGAGAGCAGTCCTTTGCCAGCTTCTGAGATTGGTGTGGCAACGCACATGGACCGCACGGACAGTTCAGTGAAATGAAGCGAACCCACTATTTGTCAAGTTGCCTGTGCCGTATTTGAAGAATCTGTTCCCTGACAATGCCGAGGGCAGGAGGATCTGCCTTTGCTTTCTTGGGCGGTGGCAGTCAAAGCTCTGTCAAAAGCTCAGCTGCGATCCTTATGCTTCACCGGCTTCACCTTTCATTCTTACATCTGCCTCTCCATATCTCTCCGTTGTCTTTATAGTCATCATTTTGCATTGCCAGGATCGCCCAGAGCACGCTGAACGGCTGGATCATCTGGAAGTTCCAAGTCCTGCTCCTCTGAGTGTGCCAAGCGCGCCAAGTGCACCAAGCATGCCAAGTGTGCCCGTGGCGACACTGCCGGCAGCGGTGCCTATGGTATCCAGCATGCATGTGGCATCCAGTGCACCTTTCACAGAGTCTGCTCCGGCAGAGACTGGCATAAGAAAGAAGACGAGGAAGGCTGGGAGCTGAAGAGCTTTGAAGATCACAGTGTGTCACAACAGTGTTTGGTATTCTAATTTCTTCAGATCTTTCCTGGGTCTAGTCTTTTTGCCTCTGCCACCTGAGGCTTTGCTCCCTGGTCATGCTTCGCGTCCGCAAGAGGCTGGCTCTTGTGAGTCCCACCTTGTCGTGGCCGGCCTCCCGTTACCGCTCGGCATCTCCTTTGGATCTCTGTCGAAGGCTGGAGTCGAAGCAACGAGGCCAGTGATCCCTGTGGTGGAGGAGTTTGGACCTTATCCAACCGATCCAACCGATCCAACTCAACGATCTCAACGGAGACTCGTGGCTGGAGCCCGGGCTTCAACTCAGGACTGAAGAGAAGCCGCCTCTGGAGGCACAGGCCATGTACAGAGATTGCCTTGGCTAACTTGGTGACTGAGTGATTGAAGTTTTGATGGACATTTTATTGAAATTGAAATCCATAGCAATGCTTTGAGAGGCATCAAAGCCACCTCCACCTCCTGAGCCAGTCTCGTGGGGACCCAAAGAGCTGAGAAGATTGATTTTGAACACTTGATCTGACTTGGTCATCATATCTTCTTCTTTTCAGAGCCACAGTCAATCCAGACTGTGATACGATGACAAGACCGAGGCAAGAGACCTTCCACCATACGCTTCGTCCTCAGCCATCTGACTTTCAGCCAGCTTAGCATAGTTTAGCCAGTGGTGGGCTAGTTTCCCCTTCACTGGAAGGTGCTTGCAGCAGGTGGCTCGGGTTAAACAGTGAATCACTCAGATCTGAGGCCACATGTTCCTGCCCTGGATCAGTTGGCAGAGAGCGAGCCAGAAAGGCCGAAGGTGCAGAAGATCAGGGTGGTTTTCCCAGAACCAACAACTGCTGTAGGATTATATAGGACGAGAACAAGCGTACAGAACTGACATTCCACGTACAGGGGATCCATAAACCAATATACAACATCTTATAATATTTCTGGATAGGGTAGTTGCAAACAAAAAAACATCTTCAATCCTGGGATGATGTCAACAATTTCTGGATAGTTCTGGTCCCTTGTTTCTTTTGTCTCGGAAGTCGCAGGAGCCCCAATCGGAGCCGCCTCGGATGGAGCAGGCCGCAAAGCATGCAGCTTTTTGCTGCAGTGCTTGTATTCAATGAAAGTACGATCATGTAATATACTATACTAATCTATACTATACTGTAGTATTGTATTATCATATCTGATCAATTCATTCTCAAACCAGGGCAAAACATGGGTTAAACTGATACCAAAGATGAGGCTTACCTTCAGGCCTTCAGTGGTGCCTTTGAAAAGTTGATCAGCCACAGCAGTTTCTACAGCTTCATGGCCAATCTCATCAGGCTGACAGCCTTCCGGCACCAGTCCCAGAGGTTGTGGAGCAGAAGGCCAAAGCTTGAGATTGCCAGTGACACGAAGCGTTAATATCACTTCAATATCATATCGATATATTGTATTTACACATTATACTATGTATAGTAATAAATATAGAGATAACTACATAAATTAAATAGATTACATAAATAAATAAACAAACAAATAGATAAACAAATAAATAAATGAATACATAAGTAAATCAATAACATAAATAAACACACACACACAGTGTATGCGTGTATGTATCACCGCAACGTTCGACGTGTAGGTTGCACGTGGATAGCAGAAGATACCCGTCTCTATAGAGATGCTATGTAACATACAAATATACACCACCACACACCTCAAACAAGGCCTTTCGATTCCTGGATGTGCAGGAATCAGATCATGGTTGCTCCACTTGCAATTTACATTGTAATCGTGGATTATATGGAAATCCTACTGAGTTGAGCTGCAAATACACCTGGATTTCTGACTGGTGAGGCTGGCTACGAAACGGAGCGGCCAGCGCAGGTCAGCCTCTGCAGATGTAAGAACCGTCAAGTGATATCTTCCTTCCATAGTGTGTGGATTTCCGGGATGTTTGAAGTTGTGTGGATGGCGTGACAACAAGGCTGAACCCGTGCAACAGCATGTGCCACAGCATGTGCCAACAGTTGAGCCAGATGCTAAGCATTTTGGCGAAGCACATCATTGTCACCTCACAGGATGACTTACTTGCAACAATGCTTACCAGTCTCAGAAACAAAGCGCCACATTTCTTGAATTATTGGCAAACAACAAGAAGGGCCACCTGCACAGGAAGCCTTTGTCAGCCCCTTCGAAGTCGAGTGTATGTTGCAAGACAAGAAACCAATGTGCAGTTGCACTTCCGTTTCAAGTTCCGATGCAAGATATGCCAGGCAAAAACATGGCATGGATGGTTCCGTGAGGTCGAGCTATGTGCCACAGAAGCTGCCAGAGCGTCCGGCTGAACCTTCACCGGAGCCCAAGGTGGGGGTTCCAAAATGCTTCAGAGGCAGCTGGATCCGCAGATGGCTAAGGTGAAACCCAAGCCGCCACCGCCTCCGCCTCCCACTCCGCCATGAGCTCAGAACCGAGAATGTGAGGAAGTCAGAATCAGGTCCGACTCAGATAAATGTTTGGACATATTCTCAAATTGTCATTCTTGTTTTTTTGTCTGGGTGCTTTGGTAATCTTCAGCCGGGAGCAGCTTTGAATTCAAGAGGCGTTGACATGGAAGGCTCACTGAAGTGTTGTTTTCTTGGCCTTTGTTGTCGTGGCTTGCCGTTTGCAAGGGAAGAGCAGCTGCAAAGAGCGCATTTTCCTCAGATACTGAAGACGGCAAGTCATTGTTCTGATCAAGCACAGATGGGTTCTGACAATGAAGGAATGCTTTGCAGAACTGCTAAGTTCGCTCAACTTTAAAGGTTTTAAAGAGTCTAAATCTTAGATGATGGTGTGTCCAGAGCAACAGCCAAGGTTCAACGTCTCAGGTGTGTGGCAATGGCTGGAGGGCCAGCTTGTGAACAGCGAGAAGGTGAGCAGCTGGTACCGCTGGTAGCTGCCCAGATTCGGATCTCTTCGACGCAATGTGGGATTGACAGCTTACGAGGCTTACAAGAAACATCGTCAAGGTGTTTTTTTGATCGACAACATGGGGCTTCGAGATCTTTGAATTCCTTCAACTATATTGTGTTACTCTTTCAGCTGGCACAAAGCAATGCTGACTGGATATGGCCGACTTGTAGGAGCAGAAGCAGCTGCTTGAAGCAGAGGCCCAGTCGCCCGGTGTTGCCACGGAGAAGCTGCCCCCAAGGATTTGCATTTTCTTTTGTGAAAGAAACCCACAGTTGCTGCACTTTTTGCAAGCAGATGAAATAGGATGAAACATTATGAAACTGTTGAATGTCAGGCTTCCTGTTTGTCAGCCAGCCAGCAAACTGCTGACAATATAGCTGCACTACGACAGAAGCTGGAAGCGACAGAGGCGCTCTTGGATGCTGAGCGTTGATGTCTTCTTGGTTCAGCTGTTGCATTCTCCTACGGGACCCGTTGGACAGGCTGACCAGAACAGCCTTTGTGACAAGGAGCAGTATGAAGAGGCACTTGGGCAGAAGGGGCCCCTAGTGACAAGATGCGATATGGAAGCTTGAATTTACATGTCACAATGGTTGACAATCTGGCGAATCCATGTCAACTCAATCAACTTTCCAACTTATGAGACTTATATAGACTTATGCGCACTTTGTCCATCCAATTTACACCAGGTAGCAACCAGGTAGTCGTAAAAGGGATCACTTCCCAGGCCGATGCTCTGGACGCACAGATCCAGGAGCTCAAGGACCTGATCTCCAGGGAACTGGAGGAGGTCGCGCTCGAGCTCGGTCGAGCTCGGTCGAAGTTGAGCCACATTGAGCCACAGCAGGGCATGGCATTTGGGCTGGAACCGGTAGGTGGCAAGTGGTGCCAAAAAGCTGGTGATCTTTGCGGAAAATCTCCTTGGTCTCACCAGGCGTGAACTGGCTCCTATGGTCCTATACAGATATGGGGAAAAGAAAGCGACAGACTTGTTGAAGACCATCATACTGTAGACTACAACATGGATTGATACATCCTTTCAGGCTTATTCCTCCTAGTCATGATCAAGTGGGCCGTTGTGTGCAATCAAAGATTCCATGCCAGGGATCGAGCATCTTTGTCAACCAAAGCCCTTGAGCGCGTCGAGGCCGGAATGACATAATATGATGATGCTTTTGTAATTTGTTTGCAACCTGCTTTTGGGTGGACTCACTACAGTAGACAGTCAAGACTTTCAGTTGACATTGGAAGTAAGAAGCTGCCTAGTAGTAGCAAGTGCTTACTAGTTTCCCCGCACATGGGAAGCAGTGTCAAGATGTTGCGTGCATGCAGGCCCTCCAGCTTGAAGGAAAGGAGGCCTCCGATATATAGTCGGTTTGTTTAAACCAGAAAACATTGGCTCGTGGCCTTTCTTCACTTCCGCTTTGAACTTGTGATTGAGAAGCACGACTTGAATCAGACACTTTGAATTGTTAAGTTTGTATTGCAGTTGTTAGCTGTTAGGCCTTCAAGGAAACAGAAGAGAGATGTCAGCGCCGGGTATCAGCAGAGGAGGCACTATCACATTGGCAAATGGAATATCAGCAATTCAGGAGGATTGAGCTGATCAAGGCTGCAGCTTGTTGAAGCCAGTTTCTTGCAGGCCCGCATGGAGTCGGAGAGGCGGGCCATCCTTTTAAGTTGGGGATCGAGTTGAAGTCTAGCACTTCTGGGTGTCACCAAGGAAGCGGATGGATTTGGCACAGTCACATCTTCAGAAGGACAGATGCCAAGGTGGATGTAGCCTTCATGGATCTTCATGGCCCAAAATCTGACCCTCACAGAATTGGAAGTAAGCATTCCTCCAAGAGAGTATCACGGTTTGACGTGAATCAGCTTGTCTGGGAGGACTCGCAGAACCTTCAAGAAGAATGGCAGCAGGTGGCTCTACTTGTGAACCTGCTTCATATTTATAGTTATTTTCGTTATTGCATGTTGTTGCAGATTTCAGAACTTAAACAAGATGCAGCCCACGAACCCGAATGCAGTCACGTTGTGAAACAAGTTATTTGAACAGTCTACATTTTTCATCATTTTTCCCCTGTTACCGTACCAGTGCACTGTAGACTGTGGAATGCGGACGACGGTGGAGTGCAAAGTGTGGAGTGTGGAGTGTAAAGTGTAGAGTGTGGAGTGTAAAGCGTGGAGTGTAAAGTGTGGAGTGTGGAGTGTAGAGTGTGGAGTGTAAAGTGTGGAGTGTGGAGTGTGGAGTGTGGAGTGTAAAGTGTAGAGTGTGGAGTGTAAAGTGTAAAGTGTGGAGTGTAGAGTAAGGAGTGTGGAGTGTAGAGTGTCGAGTGTAGAGTGTGGAGAGGAAAGTGTAGAGTGCAAAGTGTAGAGTGTAAAGCTGTAAAGTATAGAGTGTAAAGTGTGGAGTTTAAGTGTAAACTGTGGAGTGTGGAGTGTAGAGTGTGGAGTGTGGAGTTTAGAGTGTGGAGTGCAAAGTGTGGAGTGTGGAGTGTAAAGTAAGGAGTGTGGAGTGTAAATTGTAGAGTGTGGCGCGTAAAGTGTACAGTGTAAAGTGTGGAGTGTAAAGTAAGGAGTGTGGAGTGTAAAGTGTGGAGTGTGGCGTGTAAAGTGTACAGTGTAAAGTGTGGAGTGTAAAGTGTAGAGTGTGGAGTGTCGAGTGTAAAGTGTGGAGTGTAGAGTGTGGAGTGTAGTGCTGCGCTTGCCAGAAAAACTGGAACTCATCTTCTGAAAACGGCGCTAAAGTATTGTGCCTGCCACACAAAACGATTCTCGATACGTTACGAAACACGTCTCAATGTCACGAAGTGCCACGTCGGCCAGGCAAAACAACATTACAACCTGATTTGACACCTTCAAAAGGGATAGATTTTGCAGTTTCCCCCCATAGATACGGCGAAGCCAGAGGAAAACCAGAGACTCGAGACGAGACATGTTGGAGCATCAAACGAGCATTTCGTGCGAGACTTCCTCCAATTTTGACACTTTGTAGCTTCAAAATTGATGTTTTCCTACGAGTTTTCCTTGGTACATGAAAATTTGCGGCCTCAAAATCGATGTCTCGTGTGAGGCTTCCGTCAATTTTCAGCACATCTCACAAAATAATTTGCACCTTGTCACTTCACCCAGCCCTGACAATGCAATTCGGACAAAACGATCCACAAGACACGTCGAAAGTGCTGCGCCCGCCACGCAAAATCACGATGATGGTCTCCATCGTGCTGCCCCTGCCACGAAAACTGCAACGCGTTTTCTGCAAACGCCGCAAAAGTATTGTGCCTGCCACACAAAACAAATTCTCGACACGTTATGAAACACGTCTCAATGTCACGAAGTGCCACGCCTGCCACGCGAAACGAAGCAACGCGACGTTTGAAACCTCCAAAAATGACATTTTTTGCAGAACTTACCATAGGCACGGCCATACGGCCCTCACGCGGACGGTTGTGGACGGTCGCGGACAGTTGCGAACGGTTGCGGACGGTTGCGGACGGTTGCGGACGGTTGCGGTCGGTTGCGGTCGTAAACGCAACGTCGAGCGAACACACCCTCAACCCCCAGACCCCCAGAGTGAAACGGGGGATACCCTAGCTACGCATTCGTTTCTTGTGGAAGGTCAATGAAGCGATTGACCAGCAGACCACCGAGGACGTTGCTGACAGGGCCTCAGCTTTTCATCGCTGGCCGTTCCACCGGCTTGCTTACGATATCTTTTGATCTAAGGAGAGAGACAAGGCCGTATCCCAACGTGGTGAGCTGGATGAAGAAATCCAAGAACTTGAAAGGCGGAGCCCGCAACGATAAAACAATGCATGTTTACTACTGTTTACCCAAATGAAACGTTTGATTTACTTTTGGAGGTATTATGGGGGTGATATCTGCAGATTGTAGAAGGTAGAGTGGAAAGAGGATTGAAGTGATTGAAAGAACTGCAAGGATTTAGGAGGGAAGATTTGTTTGCTGTTTACTTCTTTGGAAATGCACGTGAGTGTATTGGAAGTGTGCATATTGCTGGCACATGCTGTAGAATTTCGCTCGATCACATCAGATTTACCTTGGAATCTACAGGTTGCTCGCTTCAAAGTTGGAACAACGGAAGGAGTTGACGCAGGTGGGGATAGTCGCATTTCATCGATGTCCTGATGGCCTATGCATGCATAAAACATAGCACTCTGGCGAGGTGATTGACTCGTGTGACATCAGGATAGCCTGCATCAGGCCGTGTGCCATGTTTTTTTTTCGTTTTTTTCGTTGACATTTTCTCTGGACCGGCATCAGTGCTGCCTGCGAACTGCTCAGGTCCAAGTTCGAGAAGCAACTTGGACGCCTGGAAGGCCTCGGGGTGACCGGTGAAGATTCACTGGACACCATCGCTGTGCAAGCTTGAAAAAATACAAAGCAGACTGGTACAGAATGGCAGGAATGGCAGGAATTGAAAATGCTCATGACTCATGTGCATCCAAATACTTCAGGTCCGGTTATTTCCAAATGCTGGTACAGGCAAGCAAAAGAGACTGGAGGAAGCTCAAAAAGAGATGGACATGGACACCCAGCAGGTTCCGCCTAGCAGTTTCCGTCAAACTGCCCAACAGGTTCACTTCGATGTGGTGCCAGGTGTCACAGATGGAAGCAGAGCTGCAAAAGGAGCGCGAGGACTGCAGGGATTAGCTGAGGAAGATTTAGTTGATAAATGAATCACCAAGTGATAAATGAATGATTTCTCCCTGGTGACTTGATGCATGTTGACATATCACCACAACTTCGAGGCTTTGAAAGAACAAGAAGTGCAGCATCAACGTCAGATGAAAGAAATTCGGAAGACATCAAAAGAGCTCAGAAGACAGAGGCCATGAGCATCAATTTGCGAATGTCGTTGCCAACATTTCCGATGACTGAGGGTTTCCTCTAGTGACACATGCTACAAGTCATGCTGCAAGTAGACCAGCAAGCACCAAGACTCCAGCCTGACTGTGGAGACGAGAAGACAATCTTGCTATATGATATTGTAACAGATTATACAAGGTTCTTCTGTTTTAGAAGTTGTCAGCGTTTTTTCTTGGGAAAGGACTTTGCAAACGTCCCAGAGATGCAAAAATGTGTGAGGTGGTTTCTGGCTGAAGTCATCCAACATCGTGTGGTGTGGCAGAAGCTCATGGAACCCCATAGAGACTCCTTGAGTGAGGTGCTGCAACCGGCCCTTTGAAAATGGCTGATTCTGGGTGTTGAAGAAGATCCGGAACATCTACCAAAACGGGATCAAAACGGGTAATGTTGGCAGGGAGACCGATGGGTAGGGCTGCCGACTGCAACACCCAACACCCATCCACTGATGAGTGCAGAGACGGCTCCACAGGAGCGCTTCGCTCCCGACCAGGCTCGGAGCAAGTGGGAGGAAACCACCCAGAAGTGCTTGGAGCTCTCTGCTACATCAGCAAGCCAAGAGGTTCGAAGCACAGTTCCGGGAGAGGGTAACTTCCGTAAGTTTACCCATCAGTTGGTAGATCCTGGGATATCCAGGGTTGCCATCAGCAAATCCATTGCCAGGCGGAGGCTGCCAAGCTGAGGAGCCAAATCGATGGCCATGTGCAGATGCTTCCGAACCTTGAGGTCGGCTGGAATTCCTTCCAGCCATCTGCTGTTGTTGGTTTGCTTCGACCAATTTTGAGGATCGCTTTTGGTGAGTTTGCAGGCAGAGAAGAAGCTGGCTGTAGCCTCCAGAAGCTTCAAAGAGGCTACTTTTTTTCAAGTGCCTTTTCGCAACATGACACGTGACTTGCAGGTTGAGAGTCACTAGATTCGTATGATTTCATGATCACGCTAAAATACTTAGCGGCTTAGCATCACTGAGTTGCCGGACACTGCCGAATGCCGACCGTTTCTCGCCAGGCCGGCCGCCTGACGGAGGAGATCCGCAGGCGTCAAGAAGGCAAGGAGAAATTTGAAGCGGAGCTGGAGGCGCTGCAGGTGGGATGTCCCAGGATGTCCCAGGTATCGATCCATCGCCATGGCCACGGCTGCACGTTCTGGGACTGTTGGGACCGTTGGGACCCTCGGGACCCTTGGGACCCGACCTAAGATACCTAAGGCTGGGCTGGCAGCTGCCAGGGAGGCACTTGCTACCTGTCGGCAAAGTGAGCAAGAGGCACAGGCAAGACCTGTGCAAAGACCATGGGATTTGCAGCAGATCAATTGTGCGCAAAAGTCAAATGTCGAGAGAAAGGATTGTGCATCAGATATATTCAGATATCATCAGATCAGTGATGTGTGTGCCTACCAGTCCGTTATAGATGCGAGGCTGGTAAGACTAAAGTTAGGACCCCTAGGTGGAATCCACGAGTATGTGAACAAACTAACAATATATTAATCCAAGCACACACATAATATAGATGTTTCTGCTTGTAATTGTATGCATATTGCATATTGATTTATATTTATATTATTCACATTAATCTATCCTGCCACAAATGTGAAGAGTGGAGGCCGAGCTCTTGAAAGTCGAAGAAAACTGCGCCGTCGAAGAGTTGCGGGTCGACGACTTGGGCCCAAGAGATCGCACATGCGAATGGCTCAAACTTATATATATATATATATTATAATTATATGTATATATAATTATATATATATATATTATAATTATATGTGTATATATATATATGTATATCATAGTATTTATACATTGTACATAATACTAAAACCATCTAAAACCCCTAGAATTGGATAGGTAATGATGGGTAGATACTAGAAGTGATCAATTTTCTGGGCCAATAGCCATATGTTCTGAAACATTTTTATACAATTTCTCAAAGTGCAAGTTGTCTAGTGGGGATTCTTGAACACCTCTGAACTTTGTTTGCAGGAAAATTCATCCGCAGCTGTTTGCCATTGATTTTGCCCAAGCTCACTGGACACGGAAGATACGTTCAGATGGCGGCAACATGGACAGTGCAGACTTGCAGGATGAATCAGAGACAGCGGAGACAGTGGAGGTCCAGATTGTTGCTCCTAGTGGTGCTGTCCTTGTGACCCTTCCGCTTTCGATTCGTGTTCCGGCAGTCACAGCCATGAAGACGTGCTTGCAACATTCAGGCAAGCAGGCCAAAGGAGTTTTCGTCTTTATGTTGGGCAGCACACTCATTGAAGAGGGTTGGTGCTTAGAAAAGGTCGGGGTCACTGCAGGCTCCACAATTGAAGTGACCGTGTTGGACTGTTTGCTCACATATTGTGAATGGGGCTTCTACCTCCCTGAGTTTAACAACTCCATTTCGAACGGAGGACATACCTTCAAGCGGGGTTTGATCGCTAGACATACAGATGGAGTGAGAACTGCTGCACCACTCCCTCGAGACACCCGATGCTATCTGAGCTTCGAGCCGAGGCGTGGCAGGTTTGCTTGCCTTGGGGTTGGTACCAGCAGCTGCCAGCTGGAGCAGAGGGAGTATGGATGGCTCTATGGCCAGGATGAGAACGCCTGGGCATTGTGTTTCGGACCAGGTGAAGTTTCAGCCCGCCACAGGGGAGAAGCATATGCTATGGAAGATTTGAGTGGAAAACCAATCGAAGACAGTGCGCTCGAGCTGCTGAAGCATGATTTGGCGCCTTCCTCCTTCAGCTTTCTGATATCAGCGACTGGCCAAATGCTGATGACCCTACCAGGCTTCGATGCAGATGTTGTTGTTCCATTTGAAGTGCCTCAGGATCTAGATATTTTTGTGGTGGCTTCAACTATTGAGGGTGGGTGCAGGATATCCATTTCCGACGCTGATTTCCCATGGCCAAAAAGGGGCAGCCACGACCATTGGAAGATCATCCCTTCACTCCGATTCCACCGATGGTTCTCTGTTCATCTCTGTTCAAGTCTTCCGACTGGAGACAGGGGCAATTCTATCAGGACGCCCCTGTTGTTACTGCGCCCTGAGGTGTTGAGACATCAGGTTACTGATCTCCAGGACAGCATTGCTGCAGGCATGAAACAAGAGTAAATGTGAAGTGATACATGCAATGTCGCCACACAAAAAGTGATGAGGGCTGCGTTCTTAGTATGTGAATTCTGGAAATATCAATGATTATTACAGTATGGACGGGATACATTTGGTATATACATGCATGGAGATTCTAATTTCATGCCTTATTTGCCGTGTGATCCTGACTGTGTGGCTTCAAGGAGCTTTGTAAATCGCCCGCGCTCAGCGTCAATGACCGTCGACTCTATGAGCAGGAGATTTGTGTCATGCAGCGTCAGCAGGCTGGGCGGAACAGCAGAATGATGAGTGGAGTTTGCACGTTGGAGATTCGTGATACAGATTAATATGATTAATCAAATGCATTTTGCCTTCAAAAACATGAAACAACTTCAAGAATCTCCTTCCCAAAATATGACAAGTTCGTTACAGTGGGTTTATGCATGTTTATGCCTTGTTTATGCCTTGTTGATCCTTGTTGCCGAATAGAACTTTGAACATCCATGAACATACCATTTGCAATTCGCTGCATCCCGATGCAGCACTTTGCGCTCGACAGGAACACCTCTCCAAGAAGTGCTCCATTTGTGTTACATTCTACATCACTGCTGCAGTTGAGGCGTTGTTTGGTCTTGATTTTCGTTTTTCAAAGGTGTTTATTCAGCATTGTTCCATATTGTTCCCATTTTTCGTTTCGGCAAATGTGAAAGCCGTGGCTTGCTCTGCAGGTACAGTGTTGATGTGGCCACTCTGGAAGATATCCCAAAAGATGTCATCGGAGAGCTCCAGGAGCGGCTTTCAACAGAAAGCTGATGGCTTCCCCAAGTTGAGAACTGGGAGATTTACCATATTTGCACATAACCATATTTGCACATATGATATGAAGGTCAATTTTAGAGGGGAAACCATCCAGATGGTGGAGTTGGAGTAGAGCGTGATCAGAAGCGTTCAGTTCGACTTTGATGATGCCAGTGCCACGCGCAATTCCCCGCCCAAACGTTTCGTTGTAAGCTGAAGGATAAGAACGACATGGAACTCCCTAGTGAGTCGGAAGAGGAAGAGCTCGGGCAGGCCGAAGCAACAAACTCGGTTGCCAGGATTTGATTGCAGAAGTTGAGGATAAACTCGGATGGGAATCGGGTCAGATCTGTGACATATCGACCAGCGACGAGACATATTAGCAGCTGGCAGGTGCCAAATGGAACCTCCGAGCCAGGCACAGTTTTGAAGGGAAGAGTACTCAGAGTACTCAGAGTACTCATACTATTGTGATTGCTGCAGACTTGCATTGGTTCACATGCACCTGAAGAGGCATCTGTGTAGACACACATACGCACACTTTGTGGACACGTTTGTTGTTAGGCCTATACACCTCGTGCAAAAGACGATGTGTGTTTCTTTGGATAGAAAACCACAGGCCTTTTTCAATGGCCACATATGAGATATGTAAATATTGAACAGTCCAACAGATTCTGATGCGCGACAACATTTAAGTTGGGTCACCAAAGACCACTCCTCGGCTTGGAAAAGTTGATCGCAAAGCTCAAAGTGGAGAGTTGTGGTCATATCATTTTCACAAAGAAGGAACCTGCATAAGCGCAACACCTTCCCATTCACTGAGCTCCCTCAGCTTGGCAGGCCTGGTGCAAGAGAAGGAAGATCCTGCTCCAGCGACATCGACTGACATACCTGAAGAGACTTCTGAAGGGAAGGCCCTGGGACGGGATTTGCTGCAACCCTTGGACTGACATGAAAGCTATCGGATTGATATCCACAGTCCATGGAGTCAGGAGTGAATTGAGGATCGCTCCATGCGGCAAAGGTTTAAAGTGTCAAAGTTCTGAGAGTTGTACAATTTGCAAAGCAATCATGAACAATTTACCAAATCTCTCGACATTTGATAAAGGATTTCGCACAATTTTCCATTGGATTATATACATAAGGCAAACTTTACAGGAACTCGCTAGTTGGTGGCAAGAAAAACACCCAATTTTTGATGATCGTTTTTCTTCCCATGTTATGGTTAAATCCCAAGGTTTCATGGTTTCCTTCGCATCCCATCAGATGCCAGAAATCAGGTTGAAGACATCGCTGCCAGCGATGTGGCCAGCCCTGCCGCCGCCAGCCCTGCCGCGGCCAGCCCTGCGGCCAGCCCTGCCAATGCAGCGGGAGCGTTGAGCCCCGCGGCTGTGAAGGAAAGCCATGAGCTCAGCACAGTGGAAGTATGCAGATGCGATTTCACTAGAAATGGTGGATTTCACTGGCAACAAATAGCGGGAATTTGGACATTTCGGGTCCGATCATAATGGGGGTATGATGCGGACATAATGGGGATGTACTTAGGTGTGTAACTATGAGGTGGGTTTGCCCAAGAATGGGGATTTAGCTCGATTTCTGGCCATTTTGGATGGAACCCATGATAAACCTTGGGATGGAGTGGGGGTAGCCGAACTTCAGACAGACCCGATATCGGACATGTCCTGTGGTTGGGGACCTTTCAAACGCACCAAATTGGTGGATTGTTCGACCAATCGACATGAACACATGAACACTATACTGTAGACTGTAGATTTTACACATATATTAACTTATATTAATATAGTATTTATAAAATTAATTGTCTACGTATATTAATACATTAGAATATGATAACAATTTGGGATGGACACATGCAAACCCATGGTCATCAATGGCCCATTGCAGCCCTGGCACTGTGGCAAACCAGTTCTGTACCAAGGAGTTGGACATCTGAAAACCCTGATAGAGGAGCTCAAGGCCTGTATGATTTCGATGTGACAGGAGTTTGTCTATTTTATTTGTGCAGATCTACTTCAAGTTCATGTTTGGCTTTCTTTAAACATCCACAGACATCTTTCGGTGCCCTCTATTTGTAGTCTTTGGGAGAATAGATGAAACGGCACACAAGTTGAGCCCACAATGTGAGACCACGTTTTTCCTTGTGATTCTTGTAACCTCGGAAGGTCAAAATCGATGGCGTCGAGCCAGAAATCGAAAAAGCTTGTGAAGTCGAGAACTTCGATCTTGCTGAGGAGAAAGCGTCCAGCCATGACATGGCCTTAATGATCCGACCCTACGGTAGTCTCGAGCTGCAAGACAGACGATAGGCAACAGGGTTCTCCCAACCCAGGGACTTTGACTGGAGCTTTAGAATCTTTAGATGATTGGCTGTAAGGAGCTTGAAACTCAAAGAAAAGACTTGGCTCAACAGCTGACAGACTTTGGAAAGGCGCTTTGGGTCTGAATTGACCGCATGTTTTGATCCTGGCTTCAAGAAATGTCCAGTGTGATTCAGAATTGTTTGGACCGATGCGTTGCAGGAACTGGAGGTGCTGCAGAAGGACATGCCTAGTGAAGAGGCACCAACCTTGATCATGCGCAGGAGGAGTGTTTGGTGAGACACGAGGATATTGCGACACTGTTCAGACACATACAAAGACACATGGCTGAAGCACGAGCCATCAGAGGCCTAAACTTGTTGGCGATCATTGACCTCACGAGCAAGTCCCGCTCAGGCAATCGAGCAGCCTGAGGCTGATGCAAAGCCGGAAGAGAAAGAAGAGGCGGTTTGAATGTTTACATGGAATGGGAGATGGCAGTGCACAAAAAAATGCAAAGACATGCTAAAATTACGATATATTTTAGCCTTTTTCGCCTCCCTCCGGAACAATTCTGTTCACTTTTTCAGGCTGATGCAGCTGACGAGACATAGAGGCCCCTTTTGAGACCGTCTTTATGGTACTTGTCGACTTGTCGATCAGCTGAACTCTTACATCCTTTGTATCCTTCCTTGGCAGCAAGCATACTCCGTGAGCCAGTGTTGTGCTGGTGACGCAGTCTACATATTTGAACTTTTCTCCTAGCAAAGCTTATAAAAGTACGTGTCGAAGTAAGTCACATTGTGAATGGCTGGAGGCAAAGCAATGCTACCGTTTTCCTTGGCAGTCTCATGGACCCGGCTCTCTCCTAAATGGATGTGAGTCTCGTGAAGTATGCCTAGTTCTGAGGTGGCGCACAGACCCTTAGCCACAGCTTCGAAAGACAAAACTTTCGCCGTCCCAGGTTTCTGCGGTCCTTGAAGGACGCAAGCATCAACAGAAGACATAGTACTCATGGACCTTCTCTATAACTATCAGCTGAGGTTGAGCATGGCTGAGTTGGAAGCAACAATGCATCTTCCCAAAAGTCAAGAAATGATTCAAGTATAGTCCAATGTATTTGACCGAATTTCAGCAGACTGATCACTGCCGCTCTATAGTTTCATGGATGTCAGCCATTGGCTCCAAGCGCTTCGAAGTTTTTTTTGCCCTGCCTGGCATGGAATGCCACGCGGGATTTGCCCTGCACAATGGCACTCCGGCACTGTCGTCAGGCTCGGGGTGGCTCCCTGCTACAAAGTTGGCAGCGGTGGCACGTCACTCATGTGACAATCATTCCACTGGACAGCCCAACAGCTGGCGTGGAAAATGGCAGATTGGAAGAACTACGAAGAACTGCCCTGAAAAAGGACTTAGATCCTGCTGTGGTAGATGAGATGCTCAAGAACCTTCCTGCCACAGACGATGACAAGCACACTTCTAGATCTGGCTTCTTAAATGCATTGCAGTCGCTGCATTGGTTTCAGACTAAAGCCGAAATTCCAAGTAAAGATTTGAATGAGTTTTGGGTCTTAGTAGAAGACATCCCCAGCGAGCGAATGGAGCTTTTCCTGCCCAGCCATCTTGCAGAGATCCTCTCTTTACTTGCGGAGTGTCAAAGGCCAAGCACCGAACTCATCCGCTTTTTAAGCAGGCGCTGCCGAAAACTGTACAGATCTTTTGACGCGCCTGCCATTGGCACCATCATTCGTGCGTATGGCAAACTTGATTTCAAATCGACAGAAACAATCAAATTGCTTGGGAGTAGGCTGGCAGGCCTTTTGCAGGATCCTGAAAAACGGGACACTGTGAAAGGTTCCCACATTGCTACTCTGGCTAGCAGCTATGCTAGTTTGCAGCTTTCGTGGCAGAAAAGTCGGAAAGTTGAGCAGGAGTTGAAGATGTGGAAGACGATGGCAGTGGCTTTACCTCGATTGCTACCCGAGATGACCCCGCGGGATGTGTCAGCGGTGCTCAATGGCTTTGCACGGCTCGATTTTTCGAACGCCTCCATCCACAGCAATGTGTCTCAGATGTTTGCGGCCACGGCGAATCATTTGGTGCCTCGAATTGCCCTGAATTCTAACCTGGAATTTGTGCCCCGGGACCTTGGAGTCATCAGCAATGCTTTTGCCAAGATCCAGGCACAAACCCCCACAGTGAGCCCGTTGCTGAAGGCTGTGGCATCATCAGCAGTCAGTCAAATCGAGAGTTGCAACCCGCTTGACTTGTCGCAGCTTCTGAATGCCTTTGCCAAACTGCAGGTCCGAGACCCTCCGCTGTTTGAGGCTGCGGCACCAGTGATCATATCCAAGATGACGGAGTTTGATCCTCGGGGCTTGGCAACGACTGCACATGCCTTCGGCAAGCAACACGTGATGCATCAAGCACTGTTTGAGAAGATCGCAGATGCGTCGACGAGACTCATGGATCGATTTTCGCCAAAGCAGTTAAGCTTTTTAGCATATGCCCTTGGGAAGTTGCAAGTAAGAGACAAGAAACTGCTTCGAAGCCTCTCAGATGAGGTGATTTACCGTGGAACTATAGGGAAGACTCTGCAGACTGCAAGTGATTTGTACTTTTTCGAGTTGACTCAACTTGGAATACTTTCGCAAGCATTCGGAAGGCTTGCAGTTAGCGATCATAGACTGTACTTCGTACTTTTTGATATGACCAGACAGAGAGTACGGGAATTCACGCGACGAGTCAAGGATACAGAGGCCGAACGAGATGTGAATGCTTCTGTGCATGCAGTTGTAGACAAATCACGGGTAGCAGCCATGGCCAGCAGGGGAGAAGATATCAACATGATGACAGGTCGCGGATTGTCATCAATTTTGACGGCTTTTGCAAAAAGCAAGGCGGATTTCCACAGTCTGATCAGATGGGTTCCACATCAGGTGGCTGCACTTTCAGGTCAATACTCCACCCTACAGCTGGTGCAAATCTTCAATGCCTCTGTCCGGCTGGGCGTGAAAAGCGCTCCCATGTATTCGGAGCTCTTGGGCTTCGCCAAGCCGCGAGTTCTACAGATGTCTCCCAGGGACTTGGCTGTACTGATGGCCTCCATGCCCAAGGCCAAGATGATCAGCCGGACAGTGATTCGCAATGCCATCAAAGTGATGTCAGCCAAGGTCAGCGATTTGAATGTGCTGGATGTTTGTGCTGCCATGGTTGGCTGCTGTGAATTGAACTACCGCGATGAGCGGTTTTTGCGCTTGTTGGCCAGCATTGTTAGAAGCAGGATGAATGAGATGACTGCAGCCTGGCTGGCGACAGTATTGGCGAATTATTCGCAGATGCGCATTGAGCATCCTGCATGGTTCGATGCCATACTCTTTGAGCTTTTTCAAAGGCAGAGCGAATTGCGTGAGAAGGATGCCACGAAGGTGGCCTATGCCATGCTACTCTTGGCAGCGGTTGAACGGCACGAGGCTGAGATGGCCAAGATTGCTATGACCTCGCCCTCGGCGCCTTCGAACGCTTCGTCTCTTTTCGATTCACACAAGGGTGTACTGTACAGCATGTTGGCCATCTCCAACGAACATCGCTCTGATCTCAACTATCCTGCCATCTATCAGCTTCAAATTGTTGAGTTGTACCTGAGATTGTTGGCACCATCTGTGTACGAAGACATGCGACAGGAACTAAAAATTTTGCTGGCCAAAGCGAGGAAGGTGAGTGTTGTTGTGGATGACTACATGCAAAACTCGTCCAGACTTCATCGACGCATTTCCCAGTGGTTCATGAGGGTTGGACTGGAGCATCGTAGTGAGGTTTTTGTGGGCCCCTTCATGCTAGACATGTTGATCGGAGAACGAGTCGTTGTAGAAGTGGACGGGCCGTCACACTTCTACCGCGACACCAACACCCGCACTGCATCGAGTTTGTTGAAAAACCTGCTGCTTCGAGCCATGGGCTTTCATGTGAAACATCTTCCGTATCAGGAGTGGCAACAGTGTGGCACTGCGGTGAAGCGGACCATGTATTGTTCTGCCTTTTGGAAGGATGTCATTGCAGCCAGTAGAGAAAGTAAATCCAGTGAGCTCCACCCTCGACTTCCTGAGCTGGTGGACATTTTGGATGTGGTTACCAGCTGGCAAGTTGGGCAAGGTCCTCATCCAAGCACAGCATTTTTGCAGAGAGAGAAGCTGCAGACACAAAGTTTGCCTGCGTTTTATTCTGAAGATGGAATCGAGCCAATAGACTCAAGTGAGTCAATTGAAGAGCCCAAAGAGGCTGGATCTTTCGATTCTTTCGACATTGATTCTGAGCAACTTGGAATCCGAACACCTGAAGACTTGATTGCTGCCCATGAGGAAGCTGAAGCTGCAATGAGGGAAGATCGAGAACAGCAGATCACCTCGCAGCAACGAAGGCGGATGGATGAAAGCCTTGACCGAGACCTCAGTGACCTCAGTGACCTCAGGAAGCTTTATCCCAGGTCCAAGCGTCGTGAGGTCCACCATTCCACCGCCGGCATGTTTGATTTGGATGCTTTGGAAGCAGACACCGATTCGGGCTCCGATGATGAAGAAAACACCCGAACCAATGTGACAACTGAGAGCGTGGGATCAAAAATGGAACAAAGCGCCATATGCTAAGCAAAGTGCTGCAAGTTGTGCATTCGATGGCTGATTAGAGCCCTCCACTCATAGAACTGGTGCAAAAATGATCTAGCATTAGCATTAGTGATCAAAACATGAACATTTATCATCATTTATCTAGCAAAAGAACTTTTGCCTGTGTGCCAACTCCCGCACAAGTCAGAGGCGAACAAATGCTGCGACCTTGGCTCAAGTTGGCTAGCATGCCAGATGTAGCAGACTAGGAGCCTAGGTTCTGACCCTAGTGCAGTGGCACAGCTTTCACAGATTTCACAGCTTTCACCGCTTTCGCTGCCGAAGTCTTGCACTTCGATGTCAAGCACCGACACTGGCGATGTTTGGTCTGGGTTCTTCGATCGCTTGGCAAATCTCCGAGGCGTCATGGCCGGAATCTCGGGACGACTCTTTGGGTCTGCAGCCAGTGGCCTAGCAATGCCTAGCATTCAGTTTTCTTTGAGTGAGAAATCTCTCTCTCTCTCTCTATACAATTATATATATGTATATTAATATTATATAATAATATATATATATATACAAGACATGTATATGTATATATATCATATTATATACATACATATATAAAGGGAGCATGTAAATATATGTGTATATATATATGCACACTCATTATTATACATGGATGCACATAGTATAAAACATGTCTATTCGTTGCTGGTGATTTTCCAGCACTGACCAGGTTCAAAGCGCTCAAGGGCGGCCCGCCCGAGGGAAGGGGAAGGTGAGATGCACATGGTCTACAACTCGACTATTCACAGACATCCTCCGACAATACTACAAAATGTATATCAAATGCTGTTTCGATATTTTTCATACACCTTTGAGCTGGCCAGGGGGGCAATGTTGCTGTGAGAACAGTCATTCCGAAAATTGTGAAAGGCGTTTCAAACTCAGAAATTGTAACATGTTGAGATTCAATCTGATGGCTTATTTGAATTCATGTGGTGGTACCTGGTACTACGGTACTACCCACCCTGTGTACCGATGATTTGCGAGTTGCATCGTTATGAACGTATCTTGACAAAGCTGGAACGGATCCAAGGCAACTGCTGATGCCACAGACTGGGACTCGGGCACAGACTGCTATGCACATTTCGCAGTCTTTCCGACATCTACTCCAGTCAAAGTTTTCGTTCATAGCGATTTCCGATAGATGGACTCCATGTCAACCACCAATGACACCACACATTGCGCTGAGGTTCGAGGCAGAGGAACTCGTATGTTTGCAGGCACCACATGGCCAGATTTTGAGTCGCGGAGCTATGTGATGGCATTTGTGATGCTGAATCCAAGCGTCATACGCGCCAGGTGGTGGCATGGGTGGTAGAAGCCAAGCCTACAGCGCAGGCATTGCGCGCGAAGGGCCACATGTGCAAGATTGTGCAAGCAATAATTGGTGTGGACGACATGTGACATGGCAAATGTAAATGCTGTAGGCGACGAGTACGAAAGCTTTGGCGGTGAATACTCTGGAGGCGGGGAAACCGTGGGGAGATGTGAGGAGATGTGGGGAGTCATATTTGGTCGTGCGCATTGCCAATCGATTCAATGGATGTTCTCTGATTTGGTGATGGAGCTAGTACAGCGGCCAGGTGGCAACCCAAAAGCATCGGCCTTTGCAAGAGCCTTCGAGGTGGAGGCAGGCGAGAAAGCCATAGAAAGCCAAGAGGTCGGAATCAGTTGACATTCGACGGATCTCACGCTGCTGTTCAGTAACTTGGATCTCAGAAACTGTCCACTTTCTGTGATTGAAGAGCTGCAAATCATTTTATGACTGTCTCCACACTTTGTCTTACTGCAGGAACGTGCTGCTGGGCCGGTCCGCCGAGTAATGGGCAGGCGTTGCTTCAGCCCGGGCAATGCGCTGAACAGACATCAGACATGAACACCTGTGCCTTTGATTGTCAATGTCTACTTGGTATTTTCATGCATTTCCTTTGAACCAAGTTCCATCACCATGGCCGCGGGAGTTTGTCCCATCGAAGAGACATGAAGAGACAGTAGAAAATCCTGCCAGTTCAGCAGCGGGCAGTTAAGCACAGTTAAGAAGAGTTCAACATATGCTGTGCATTGCAATGTCCAGACGCCCTGGTCCTTATGACGAGCTTCAGGAGGTCGAGTTCTGAACTTAGCACAACTTCGCAACGCATCTCGTACCAGACATGACAATTTCTGAGCGAATCTGGCGCCAAGTGCTGACTACAACGGCTTCCCTCGGTACTCGCAATACGACTGGGACGAGCCTGAGTGCATCTTGCCAGTTTGCTCTTGTAGGGTTTGGGACCAACTTCAACACACACACACATGCTCAGAGTTGCTATTTGGATCTTCTATAGATGTAGCTTTTTCACGGTGCAGCTTGCTGCGCGCCAGTTGGGAGCACGATCAGTTTGAAGGACCTCAGACTGTGGGATCTGCTGTCTTAGCCTCAGGATGCAAGTGCCACGCAGAGCCAGCCTTCAAACCCCACAATCAGAGCATTTAACACTGACTGTTTGACTTCAGAAGCTAGGCTTTCATGGAAAACTGAAAAGATCTTCAGATGGTACAGGATAGCATTCAACAGTTCAACACATGATTTAAAGCGGAGTCTTCCAAGTTAGGCTTAGAATTGAAGTTTCGTTTTAGAATCTTTCAGATGTCCCAGACATGACATGGCCAGATCTTTGTCCGAAATCTTCCTCCTGGTGTCGAAGGGCAGCAACTGAAGCACCTCTTCGAGGAGGCGTGGACTGTGGACTGTACAGCATCCTCGGTTCCTAATGGTTCCTCCATCCCAGCGGAGCTTCACAGGCTGGACAGATTGCCAACATCCAGGTGCCCCACTCACGGAGAATTCTGAAAACATGTTCATTTGTTCGGAGTAAAAGCTGCTTGAAAATTCAGATCTTCAATATTCTCAAATTTTCTTCACATGTATCAATGTATCCATCCTGAGATCTTGTGGAAGGTTGACAATGGCCCGTTGCCTACTGCCACCATTGGCTATGTGCGACAGGCCAAGCCTGCAGCAGTTCGGGCTGCGACGACACGGATATATCCCATATGTCCATTCATATGAGGGGTTCTCAAAATGCGCGACCGCCACATCATCCAACACGAATCCTTTTTGATAGGGAAAGCAATGGTGTTGAGGTACTCCAAGTCGCATCCATTAAACAAATACAATTGAGAATTCATTTGCTCTTGGTTCCCCTTCAGAAACCTTGGGGAAATGCATCCATTTTTTTCGCATTGCTTTTACATTGTACCCACGACATACTGCTGGATCGACAGGGCGTCGGCTTTGATGCTGCTGAACTCTTCCATGGCCGGTATTTGCTGGGACATGAGCTCAAGGCCAAAACATCCGCATTGTGAAATTGGATTGCTGTAAAACAGTTTGCATAGATATATGCATGGCATAGATACATGTTTGTCTAGTCTAATCTATATCTATATCAGTGTACAACGATAGTAAGAATATATATATATATAGACATACACATATTTATAGAGACATATATACATATAGACATATATATTACGAAAGCCAGCTAGCTGGCTAGTTGCTGTTTGCGAACGAAGTGAGAATAGGGGGTGTGGGGGGGGGTGGTTGCCGAAAGGGAACGAAATCTCGCCGTGCCCCTGTGTTGAGCGCCAGAAAACGGAGCATTTTGCTGGATTATGTACCACTAGGTAATTTGCTGACGGTGGGGTATCGATTCCCCCTAGGTCCGCCTTTTTGGTGGCCGGAGAGACCATGAGGATGTATTGGAAAATACAATGAAACTGCAGGAAAACATGATAACGATCAGAGGAAATCGTACAAAACCCCCTGGAAAACGGACGAAAACGGAGCGAATGCTAGGAACAAACCATGCAAAATCTGTTGGAACATGGAGGAAACCGGAGTGACTGCTAGGAACAAACTATGACGATGCAGTAAACATGTTGGAAAAAGACAGTGAAAGTGCAGGAAAATGCGATAACAACCAGAGGAAATGGTGCAAAAACGATCGGAAAATGCAGGAGACGGGTAAAACTCTTGGAAAAATACATTGAAAATGCAGCAAACCAGAGGAAATGGTGCAAAAAGGAGACGGGTAAAAATCTTGGAAAAATAGATTAAAAATGCATGAATAGACTGAAAACACACGAAGAGGATATAGAAACTGCAGGAAAACATGATAACAATCAGAGGACATCGTGCAAAATCCAATGGAAAATGCTGGAAAGCTACAGCGAAGGAAAATGTGATAACAACCTGGCAGGAAAATGTGATAACCAGAATAAAGGGTGCAAAATCTGTTGGAACATGGAGGAAACCGGAGCGACTGCTAGGAACAAACTATGACGATGCAGTAAACATGCTGAAAAAATACAGTGAAAGTGCAGGAAAATGCGATAACAACCAGAGGAAATGGTGCAAAAACGATCGGGAACTGAAGGAGACGGGTAAAACTCTTGGAAAAATATATTGAAAATGCATGAAATGCAGGAAACGAGAGGAAATGGTACAAAAAGCCACAGAGGAAAGCGGTGAAAATGGTAGGAAGCATGTAGTAAAAAAAGCTGGACAAAACACAGTGAAAACCTACAAAAGAGAAGAAAGTAACCACAGGAAACGGTAGAAAAAGCAGCAGAAACTGGAAGAAAAGTTGTGACAATATTAGGAAAACGGTGTACAAGCTAGGAAATGCTTGTAACAACTACTCCCCCTCCTTTTACCGTAGTGAAAAAAAGAATCTTCCACGTTAACTAAAGTGACAATTCGGAGGTTTACTTCCATGTTAGTTGCAATGGGGGGGGTAAACTGCTAATTTGTGTTCTTTGGATCTGAGCCCTTTTTTTTTTGGCTAGTTCTTTTTGGCACGAGTTCCCCGGGAATCCTGGGCATTTGTTGATTAACGTAGAAATTTTGAATTTTTCAAGATAAAGCTGGGATAGCCTCCATTTTTTTACAACCAACGATTGGAACGGATAACTTACATAGAAAATTTGCTACTTGAAGTAGGATGTGGGCAGTGCCATGTTAGCGAGCGCTCGGTCCTCCTTTTACCGTAGTGAAAAAAAATCTTCCACGTTAACTAAAGTGACAATTCGGAGGTTTACTTCCATGTTAGTTGCAATGGGGGGGTAAACTGCTAATTTGTGTTCTTTGGTTCTGAGCCCTTTTTTTTTTGGCTAGTTCTTTTTGCCACGAGTTCCCCGGGAATCCTGGGCATTTGTTGATTAACGTAGAAATTTTGAATTTTTCAAGATAAAGCTGGGAATGCCTCCATTTTTTAACAACCAACGATTGGAACGGATAACTTACATAGAAATTTGCTACTTGAAGTAGGATGTGGGCAGTGCCATGTTAGGGAGCGCTCGGTCCTCCTTTTACCGTAGTGAAAAAAAGAATCTTCCACGTTAACTAAAGTGACAATTCGGAGGTTTACTTCCATGTTAGTTGCAATGGGGGGGGTAAACTGCTAATTTGTGTTCTTTGGATCTGAGGCCTTTTTTTTTGGCTAGTTCTTTTTGCCACGAGTTCCCCGGGAATCCTGGGCATTTGTTGATTAACGTAGAAATTTTGAATTTTTCAAGATAAAGCTGGGAATGCCTCCATTTTTTTACAACCAACGATTGGAACGGATAACTTACATAGAAATTTGCTACTTGAAGTAGGGTGTGGGCAGTGCCATGTTAGCGAGCGCTCGGTCCTCCTTTTACCGTAATGCAAAAAAAAAACTTCCACGTTAACTAAAGTGACAATTCGGAGGTTTACTTCCATGTTAGTTGCAATGGGGGGGGGTAAACTGCAAATTTGTGTTCTTTGGATCTGAGCCCTTTTTTTTTGGCTAGTTCTTTTTGCCACGAGTTCCCCGGGAATCCTGGGCATTTGTTGATTAACGTAGAAATTTTGATTTTTTCAAGATAAAGCTGGGAATGCCTCCATTTTTTAACAACCAACGATTGGAACGGATAACTTACATAGAAATTTGCTACTTGAAGTAGGATGTGGGCAGTGCCATGTTAGCGAGCGCTCGGTCCTCCTTTTACCGTAGTGCAAAAAAAAATCTTCCACGTTAACTAAAGTGACAATTTACAATTCGGAGGTTTACTTCCATGTTAGTTGCAATGGGGGGGTAAACTGCAAATTTGTGTTCTTTGGATCTGAGCCCTTTTTTTTTTGGCTAGTTCTTTTTGCCACGAGTTCCCCGGGAATCCTGGGCATTTGTTGATTAACGTAGAAATTTTGAATTTTTCAAGATAAAGCTGGGAATGCCTCCATTTTTTTACAACCAACGATTGGAACGGATAACTTACATAGAAATTTGCTACTTGAAGTAGGATGTGGCCAGTGCCATGTTAGCGAGCACCAATTTGGCAGCATTGATTTCGAAAGGTTGCATCCTCAATCGCTCGGACATGACAGGGGTGAGAAGATAGATGCAAAGAAGAAAAAAATGATGTGGCGGTCAGTCTGGGGGTTTTAGGGATCGCCCTAGAAGGATGTATTCAACATGAGGGGAGAACATGTTAACATAGAAGTTGCCAACCTGATGTCTGGACCCTCAAGTTACTTCCACGTAAGGGTTTTTAGTCTCAGTTTTCACACTTCCATGATGAATATGTTACTGACATATCTGATGAGCTACTTCCATGTAAGAGATTCACGGTCAGTTTTTCTGCATTTGCTGGCCCGGTAGCCCAGTTTCACTTTTTCCCCAGGAATTGGACGTAAACGACTTCCATGTAAACCGACAGGTTTTTCCATCCTGACTTCCACGGTAAAAGGACCCGGTGTAGAGGAAACGATGTAGAAAACAGTACAACATGGAGGACACGCGTGAACAGGCTAGGAGGCATGTAACATGTTAGAAAAATACAGTGAAAACCTAGGAAAATGTTATAACTAAAAATGCTTTAAAAATATAATGAAAACCAAGACAATGTCAACGAGCGGAAACGTTGAGCAGGAAATCCGATTTGGTTTCTGTAGATAATGTTAGATGATGAGCAATGTAGTTTGGTGATAGGAAATAGTGGCTGCCTCGCGTACAAGACATTGCCATGAAACCTTGGAGCAAGATGCGGATGATATAGGAAAAAAGATGTATGAGTTGTAAGATTTTAGGAGTTGCATGGGAAAATTTGTTTCATGGTAATCTGTGTGAAGTTAGAAAAGTGTGATTTCGTTCACAGAGTAAGAAAAATAAATACAATCTGCAGATTAGAGTATTTATAATGCTTAAAGCTGTTTGACGTTTTTTGGTGCCTCCCTGATTCTGGTAGTTTTGTGATAAGAACTACAAAAACGATCTACTGGTAAACGGAAGGAATAGTCTTTCCGGTTTAGAACTGAGTCGACTGTCAAGTGATGCATAGGCTCCAGGCCTCTGGTTATTGTCACAAAGCATTGGAATGAAGATTGCGCCCAGGAGCCACCTAGGTTAGGAGACAAATGCTGTAATATCATTGTAAGAGGCCGTACTGAGAAGGCTGAAACAGAACTAAAAGTGAATCTTGTACTAAAACATCGAGAAAGAATTTGAATCTTCTAATGGCAATGACGGGAATGATATGCATCTGTACGTCCGTGATAGTATGTGTGCCTTTTAAAAGGGATGTTTGGCGAGTGTGATAGCTGAGAAGATTTTCCGGGACGCCAAACAATTATCTCTATCGATGTCAGGCATGATGCTATTCCGCGACATTTCCTGTAAAATACCTATTTTCCAGACCCTTGGGGGGTGGGGGGGGGTACCCAGGTCTGTAAATGGCCTAAATATATATACTTTTGATTTGGACTGCATGTTCGCCACTGTTCTATATTTCCCGTGGGTTTTGCATTGTTTTCCTCGATTTTCATTCGTTCTTATACCCTTTCTTACGTATGTTATAGTATTGTCTTGGGTTTGCACTGCCCATTTTGCGAGTAGAGCTATGTTTTGATTTCTCACCGTACGGCCAAAATGTTGCGGAACTTCGCGGAGAAGCATGGACCACGATTCTGGGGAGAAAACAATTTAGACTTTGAGAGGTCACATGACCACTGTTCACACAAAAAAGCGGGTGTTATTTATCTACAATAGGTGGGAGCAAACTTGCGCTGTTTCAAGATAAATGAGCAACCAAAGGCGGATTTACGGAACTTGAGATAGAACTTTTCACAATGCCGCAGTACATTGTAGGAAACATATTTGGATATAGAAGTTACAAAATCGTGGAGTTTTACCCTAAAAAGGTCCACTTAATGATTGGAAAATTATGACCCGATAGCAATTGTTGATGGAGGGCTAATTATTTTAGGATTTTTTTTGATCAGGTTTAGGAATTATTTTTGGATTCCTGCTTCTCTGCTTTTCCTGCTTTTCCTGCTTCTCTGCTTTCCTGCTTTTCCTGCTTTTCCTGCTTTTCCTGCTTTTCCTGCTTCTCTGCTTTTCTGCTTTTCCTGCTTCTTTGCCTTTCTGCTGTTTTGCTTTTGTGCGTTTCCTGTTTCTTTGCTTCTCTGCTTTTTTTGCTTCTCTGCTTTTTTTTGCTTTGCCTGCTTTAAATACTTGATTTTCATGTAAGATGCATTTTGCACAGTATTTACATCCCTGAGTATCACATGACCAACCTTCTCTTGAAACCTAGCAACGTAACATGTGAGAAGAGGTGCTTGCATTCTGCTTTGGGGGGAGGCGCTGCGCCCTCCCCCCAATCCCCCCTTCCCGCTTGATTTTTATTTAAACTTAAACCCAAGTTACATTAGTTGGTTTTTGCGAACTAACCTTCTCTGGAAAGCTGACAGGATTACATGTGATAGATAGATAATTAGATAGCTGGATAGATAGATAGCTTGGTAGATAGATAGCTAGATAGATAGATAGCCAGCTAGATAGATAGATAGCTAGAGAGATAGATAGCTAGATACCTCGATAGATAGATGGCTAGATAGATAGCTAGATAGATAGAAAGCTAGCTAGATAGATAAAGAGATAGATAGATAGATAGATAGATAGCTAAATAGATAGGTAGATAGTTAGCTAGATAGATAGATAGCTAGATAGATAGCTCGATAGCTAGATAGCTGGATAGACAGCTGGATGGCTAGATAGATAGATAGCTAGATAGATAGAAAGCTAGATAGCTAGATAGCTAGATAGATAGTTAGCTAGATAGCTCGATAGCTAGATAGCTGGATAGACAGCTGGATGGCTAGATAGATAGATAGCTAGATAGATAGAAAGCTAGATAGCTAGATAGCTAGATAGATAGTTAGCTAGATAGCTAGATAGGTAGATAGATAGCTAGCAAGATAGCTAGCTAGATAGGTAGATAGATAGCTAGATAGATAGATAGCTTGCTAGATAGATAGCTAGCTTGCTAGATAGCTAGCTAGATAGCTAGATAGCTAGCTAGCTGGATAGATAGCTAGCGCCCTCCCTCAATCCCCCCCACCCGCTTTTTATCTAATCCCAAGCTTCCGCATCTGTAAATATTTGGGTGAACATGCTCACATGTAGAACATCCCATGCAAAATGGAAGGTGAACATGCCAAAATGTGGCAAATTGTATGGAAGGTGAACATGCCCACATGTAGGAAATCCCATGCAAAATGGAAGGTGAACATGCCAAAATGTGGCAAATACCATGCAAAATGGAAGGTGAACATGCCCAAATGTGGCAAATACCATGCAAAATGACAAATTCAAGTTCCAAACCTTTGCAAACACTAGGCAAATGGTACCAGCCAAGAAATCCAACAAAAATTCCCAAACCTGCTCAAAAAAAAATCCTAAAACTATTTCACACCCATTATGTTTGAGCCATGCCATATGGATGAGGTGGAGTTTCACGCGCCCCCGCGCGAGTCAAAAAGCAAGCGCTGGCTTTCGTTCCACCCCTTCTCAGGTATATATAGAGCCATATATATATATATATAGAGCCATATATATATATATATATAGACATATATACATATATTTATATATATATATATTACATATATTGTATGAGATATTTATATTTTCGTAGAGATTTCTGGAGTGACTTTGGAACATGGACTCTTCGCCTGACAGTGTGTGATTTGACGGTGCAGGTGACAGTCAAAGCTGCTGAATCACCAGCGGCCCGAAAAGTCGATGATGAGTTCTGGCGCCAAGAGCGGCTGCCTCAAGGGAATCGGTCGCAGAGCAGATGGGGTCAAAAATGGGGCATCCGAATTCGGATAGATTAGCTATGATTAGTTTCATGTTTGCCACTAAAATTGCAATTTGGGGGTATACTTTATCCCTGGACAAACCCACATGTTTCCAGCTTCACAAAAAACTATTCGAACTTGGGCGAGTGGAACAAGGCTGCGTGCCATGAAGCAGAGAGGGAGCATGCGAAACGATCCATGGCTCTTGGGGCAGTTTGGCGAAGAGGAGGGGTGTCAGTGTATGCGAAATGGGATGCCTTCATGAGAATGCGATTGACAAAAATGTGTGGCCACTGATATTTCAATATAGCTATATGGGGGTGTCTGAAATTGGGGTGTGCCCCGCAAATGGCTATTTAATATTGAACTGATAATAATCCACTGGGAAGGGGGAGCGTCCCATTTTCACTCTATGGATTTCCATCTGCGGCTGAGCGCCCGGTCAGGATATGGATTGGGCGCCCCAAAGAGCGCCCCAAAGCAAAGGCTGCAGCCCTAGTCAACGGAACTAGACTTCATCAGATATCTCTGCGGATCATTGTCATTTATGGATATATGGATATTTAATGATATTTAAGGCTATTGTATGATATTATAAGCTCATTTCCAGATATTGTCATACAATTCCGGATAAAAAAAGGGGGCAGCATGGGGCGGCATGGGCCAAGGCAAGGGACAGAGCCGGCTGAAGGGCTCAGCAGGTCGTGGTAAAGGAGGCTTTGGACCAAGCGCAGGAAGCTGGGCCGGGCGTCCTGAGGGCTTGACGGAAGCTATAGGAAGTTCCTCCATCCTAGTCTTCCAAGTTTCGATGGGGAGAAGGGACAAGATGGGACAAGGCACGAAGTTCCAGCAAGTCACATGATTTGCTGTTCTGATTCTGATATTCTTGAGAAGTTGATTCATGCATATTTGCCCTTCCCATGATTGTAAAAGTGGTGGCTACTGGTACATCATTAAAAAACGGAGGATCATGGCTGGGTGTGTTAACACTTTGAGTAGGACAGAGAAGCACTGATGTTTTCTAATCTTAAGACGCTTGCTTGCGGATTTTGCGCTGGCACCCAACCACCCAGCCTTGCAAACTAGTGAACAAGCCTTATTCGGCCCCAACAAGTGAATTCTGACCTGAACCAACAAGGCAGCATCTTTCACAACCAGGTTGACAGAGTGCCCAAAGTTGTAGATTCGCCGATTCCTCCCCAAAACCAAGCTGCTGGATTTTCAGCCACCACAAACCGGCGAGGAATGCACAGCGCCTTAGCCTGGGATGACTGAGGGGGTCATGGACGTTTCACTTTATTTACATTGTGAATATCAGTGTGCATAGACCAAGGAGTTATGTCAACGATGTATGTATTTTGTACAAACTCGCTGCTAGGGATTTGCTGGTGCCTGAATGCCTGCTTGCTGCTCGTTTCATGAAGAAGTAAGTGCAGGATTCAGAACTCAGAATATCCGCAAATGACGTATCTGATTTACTGTCGCTCCTGGCTCCTGGCTCAAAGCCAACTCGCTACCACAGAGCGCCACAGACCTCTATATATCACTAAGGCACAAGAGTGTTTTTTGCTCCAACCTCCTCTTGCATTTTTATCCTTGTTTTTCCCGGAAGATGGCAGCAATTGGAAGAATCATCTCACCTCCTACATTTAATTCATAAAAGACGTTCAGTATCCGAGCTACAGACTGAGAGTTTGCATTGACCTTCACCGTGATACCATGGCAATGCTTGGCAGCAAGCCACGTGGCCCTCCACTGAGCTCCCAAAACCGATGCCAAATAGGTTAGATGATGTTAGATGCGTCAAACTCGAGGGGTGGCTTCCCAGGTGATCCCCTGGTGGTCACGGAGTGGGAGGTATCCTTCGGCCAACGGATGGCACCTGACGTGAATGGCGAGTGTGGCGCCCTCAGGATTTTCGCTGGCAAAGTCTTTTGACGGCAAAACTGGAGGAGTTTTATTCTGTCTCATGATGGCATCGGTTGGCATCGGTTGGCCACATCGGCGTGCATGGTATGATGATAGCAAGTCGTCGTGAGGATTTGGTCAGAAAGATTCGCCTTGAGGATGTGCCTGAATTTATCAAATTGCAGGACTCAATCGCTGTTGAAAACGACTATTGACTGGCAACGGCTGATCCTGACCAGGATGAGTTTGTGGTGGAACATCATAAGTTCACGCAGAAGCTGTATGGGAAGGCCAGAGATTTCATGGCTGTTTCCTATGAATCAAAAGCCAACTGTGAAGAAAGAGCACCTAACAGCTGGCATCAGCTGGCATAGATGCAGGAAATAGTTCGACTCACAAAGAACAGACAAACTTGTGGCACTCCTTTGGCTGACATGACCAGAGCGGTTAGGCCCGGTTAGGCCCGGTTAGGCCCGGTTAGGCCCGGTTAGGCCCGGTTAGGCCCGGTTAGGCCCGGTTAGGTCCGGTTAGGCTTCAAGTACTTGAGATATCTTGAGATCGTGTTTTGCAATTGCGGGGAAATCAGGTTAGTATCGTAGACTGGCAGCACTGTGGTGTCCTTAGCTTTGTCAGCTATTTCTCCACACTTTTGAAGAAGAAGTGACTGGTGACTGCACTTCACACTCTCCCATTTTGATCCTTTTCATATGTCTTGAGTTTGAAGATGATTTCAGATCGCGTTGTTTTCAGCTCCTCCCCGAGCTCTGACAGTTTGAATTATCTTGTTTCAGGCCTGCTTTGTCCCGAAAGGATCATGAAGACGCCTGGAGGCACAAAGATATCGTGTGTCGAAGAAAGCAATGCCAAATTGAGAGATTTTTCATTCCCAGGCAGAGAGAAGCAGATCATCGAGATGGTGAAGCAGGACACTGTGACTCTGTGACTCGTCTTCTTCCTCCTCCTCCTTCTTCTTCTTCTCACAATCATGTCTTGACGACAGACAGTGATTATCAGTGAATTCTGGGAGGAAAATGCAGCCTTTCGAAACCTGCACGTTCTGGTGGTGGCAGATGGAGACCCTGCAGTTCAGGCCGCCTCTTGTGCCGGTTCTGTGTACATTTTGTCAGACGATATTGACATTGCAGGTGGGCTACATAATGTTCCACGTCCACAAGAGCAAGAGGAGCGACTCAATTCGCAGCATCTGGTTTTGACAGATTTTACAGGTCATTTTGACTGTTTCTGTCTCCAATACTCACGGAATGGCTGTGTCCATGGGCTGACAAAAGGAGTCGCCTGGAGAATGGACATTCAAACCCACCTCATGTGCAGGTGAGCGAAAGATCAGGGCGAAGACATTGGCTGATTACAGATTACAGTATCGTCATGCCATTTCCTTTGTTTAAGAATTACAATAGCCGTCTTTTTTCACCCCGAGCCCGCAGGATCAAAATAACATGTTCCAAAAAGTCAAATTGATTATAGACCTTTTGACAATCCATACTAGTTGATTATATTAAACATGAAGAAAAGGTGCATAATAATGGACTCTCAGCAGACGAAAAATTAGATGTGTATGCAAACAAGTTTTTCCAAATCTGTGATTCATGTACACGTGCTTTCACGTGCTTTCTTGGCGCCGTATATTTTTCTTCCGGTCATCAATGAGCTGCTGCAGGTGAAGCAGCTCTTTGTGCGTTCCAGCCACCGTCGTCAGGGCTTGGGAGGTCTACTGCTTGATGGCATGAAGAAGGCGAATCACCGAAACCGGCGATGGTTGAGGGTCGAGTGCCAAGCTTCTTGTCATGTGGAGTGAAAAATTATGGTACCCCTCAAAGCAGTGGTTAATCATCACTTTCACATATCATTTCCCATCATTTAAACGGCTTTTTTTTTGACCATTTTCAGAGACGGCCAGCAACTCGCAAGCCATGGACATATGGCCATCCATGGCCAGTAAACCCTGGAGGTGGCTCCTGGCCCTGAGACCGAAGACTTGCGTTTGAGCGTCTCTTAGCTGGCATTTCGCATCCCCTGCGGTGCCCATGGTGAAGTGACTATTTGATCTATTTGGCCACCAGAAATGGATGGTTGAATAATATTAAATAATGTTAAATATGGTTACTATGTGGTGATTATATCTTATTATTGTATACGAATACAAACTAAACAAAAAGTGTCCGATTTTGTGGTTTCACTCCAGGTCTTGGATCTGAACGAGATGGCTTTCACTTGGTCATTAGCTCAGTATGGAAAAGGTGCACCACGTCCCAAGGGAATCTATGAGGTCCACGAATGGGCCTTGGCCTACTTGGAATGCCTCAGGTATCGTTCCCGTGGCTTCGTGCTGACTGGAGTTGTCTGGGAATACCTCGGACCTCAAGACAATGCACATTTGGTCGCATACCAGGCTTCCGATGCAGTTTTTTGATCTCTGAGAAAAATGCTTTTCAACGGGATCGCAGACATTTGCTTACTTTGCACTTGAGGATTTGATGTATATCGCAGGTGATGCAAAGACTCACCAGAAATTCACCTGGGTCTGTGAAGCCAAAGCCCCAGATTCCATTTTCGTGCAAAGCTGTAGCCTTGAGGGCTGTCAACTCTCAACTGTCCTCGGTCACAGTTGTGAGCGAATGATTTGATTCCAAAATCAATGAAGGTCTCGATGAAGGTCTTGTTGCCACTTTCTTGTCATGAAAAAGGGTGGAGGCTTGGGAGGAACCACGGCCAGCATCCTACATTTGCTCTCCTCTTCAACAAGCACAACAACCAAGGAGTGATAAAGCCATCCTCTTCCGCTCAGAAATTATTGGAGAGGCCATCACCGTTTCCTGTCACGCCTGGTTGATTTTTTTTTGCAGCCCGCGACTGCCAGATCGTTAGCATCAAGTATCCAGATGGATCTGGACCGTTTTATGTCCGATCCTTAGTTTTTCTGCCTGTCAATGTCTACATGATGTTGGCCCCTTGGCTGTGTCTGAGGTCACAATAAGAGGGTGGCAGGAGCCTTCCACTTAGCTGACAGATGTGCCGCTAGCCGTCCAGAGACATGAGCTGCTCCGTGCCTTTGAGGTCTGAAAAGATGCACATGGTGGATTCCAGAAATTTATCTTCTTGGGATGTTGCTGCCTTATGCCCCGTTATATATAAATATATATATAGGATTTGGATGTTGGATGTCCCGACACCATGGAGTGCATAGACAGATGAGCACACTGGCAAATGGGCACACGAGTTCTGCGAGTGATCTTGCCATTTTTGCCCAGGGTGCGCCTTTCACAGACCTCATCGACTTCAACGAAGCTTTTACAAGTGGTCGAGCCTCCTTTCACAGGCGATGTGTAAGGAGACCAAATCAAAAGAGATGCCAGATCTATGGAAAGCCTGATCAAAGAAAAGACAATTGTGTGCAAAGGGCAAGAATGACACCACTTGCAGAATATCCAAGAATTCTCTCTCAACAATGTATAGAGATAGTTCGTTCAGATTCTAGATTGGGAGATTTTGAATTTGGCGGTGAACACCTTGCTTGGCCTCTGCGCATTTGCAGGGAGCTGTCTCTAGTTATGCGGGATGTCGAGATGACAAAGCTACTCGCAAAAGAG